TTCTCGGCGTCGGCGGAGTCGTTCTCGCGGGCCTGTCACGAAATTCGTGTGTTTATAGGCGAAAGAAACAAGTAGCGTTGGAATGGTGACGCATCGTTCATTTCCTCGTTGTAGGCGGAGCGAGCCGCCAGCGGCATTGGCGCCACTTGCTCTAACTACAAAATATTTAAAGAACTTTAGCTGTGAAATCACTCAAAACAAGCGGTGAGTATACAGTGACTAGTAACGTAGCAGTAGTCGTCGTATCGTCATTGTCTTCCTCCCTGCACACGGTCTTTTGCGATGCCCAAGGACAAGCTTCTGGCCCGGCGATTCTGTGATCGCTGGACCAAATATAAAATCTGCTGTAGCCGCAGCTCGTCAGTCCAGGGCCTCCAAGTTGTACGTGTCCACCGTCACCTCCATGGTGACCGCCTCCCCAGGTCCACCGTCAACGGTGGCGGTGATGGAACATGAGCTGGCGCCCGCTGTGTGCTGCACCGATTGGCTGTCCGCAATATTCCCCTCCACTGGAGCCGCCTGTTCCGGCGTGGAATTTGCCTTCGGACGTCCGGGAAAGCCATGTCCGTATTGCTGCCATTGCCAGTCACATCGCCGAGAATGTGGGTGCCGATGTCTGCCCTGACGACCACAGTGGCTGCAGCATGTGCGATGCCCAGCGCTTGCGAGCCGGATGCAGGACTCCGTCGCACATTGTAGCACCCGGAATTGGCTTGGCTGTGGCACGCCATCAGGCCCACCCGCTAGCCATCGTTGATGTCTACGACAGCGGCGTGTGTGCTGCTGTCCGTTCGTAGCCGCACACATTGAGCAGCACTTGCTGTGCTGCGGTCTGTGCTGGTGATCCTGGAAGTGCAGCCAGCAGCCCGGAGTCCTGCAAGCCGTGAGCCCATCTGTTCGCACCGGAGAAGCCTCATTCCAATCGTTCATCCTCGTGAGAGCAAGTTTAAGTGCAGTATAAGTACCACGATGATGACAGCAGACTCCTTCACGCTAACCTGATGAGCCGAAACGTGCCTTCAAAACGGCAGGGGGACGGCAGGACCAGGTGTAGTGTGGCACTGCCCAATATCAGCCAAGCAACAACAGACAAGTGCATACAATTGCATTTTACCGTATCAGCACCAACTGCTCTTTTAAAGTGAGCAACACGACTAAGGTTGCAACAGCAAGGCCTCAAAGTATCAGAAAACACTCAACCCAGTAAAGCCTCAAACCCTGAAGACTTGAGCCCACAACACCTCAACCCTAAACCCCAAACCTTAAACCCTCAACCCCCAACCCCAAACCCTAAACCCCTAAACCCGAAATGAACCCACAACACCTAAACCCTAAACCCCAAACCTTAAACCCTCAACCCCCAAACCCTAACAGAGCCACGGTTTAGAGTTAGGCCCTGGCCTTTCTCTTTCGTGACTGGCCCAGCTTCAGGGTTGTTGCGTTGGAGCCAGCCTGGCTAATTTGTTGTAGGCGGCGCGAGCCGCCAGCGGCATCGGGACCGCTTGCGGGGTTTAGGGTTTTAGGGTTCCGGGAGGGTGGGGTTTAGGGACTGCGGTTGATGGGCTGGTGTTTTAGGGTCTGGGCTCAGGGGTTTTGGGTGCAGCCCACCTCTGACTCGGATTCAGGCGAGTCAAATCCCAGCTCACGTGGGTTGGGCACATCCTCCGGGCCATAGTGCGCGCCCCCAAAACCGGCGCCACGTGCGTTGGCCGTCTCGACGATCCCGAGACACTTTTGCAGCGCCTGCATTGGGGGTGCAGACAAAGTTCAACTTATTAACCCATGGATCGGCCCGGCGTCCAGCTGCTCTGAAGCTCGCCCAAGCGCTGTGAGAAGCCCACAGGACGGCTTGCCGTCCTCGGCACTTATGCTGGGCCCATCACGCCGCGACACTTAGCAACATGATTCTGTTTAAAGAGCTGCACTCGCAAGAATTTTAACTCGCAGGTCCTCCGTAAAGTTGGGATCTTCAGGTTGGCGCCCTGCATCCTCACATGTCCACAGGAAGCAAAAGTTCACTTGCAGGACTGCATTCATGTAATCTCGGTCCGTCGGATGATCTGTCACGGAATAAGGATTCTGGTGGAGCTCCGCTCCGAAGGATGTGTCCTGATATGAGCACAGAAAACAAGTTCACGCGATGTTTTTCAGGTAGCCTTGTCGGCAAGTGCCTTCTGCGTTCCGTCTGTCACCGTGTTGTCCTGAAGCAGGGCACCGCATGATAGCAACACCAACTCACGGTTGAACACAAAAGGTTCAATACACCGACGTCCTGAGAATCGGCATCTTTTTTTGTTGCATTGTCCATCAACCCGAGACACTCTTCCAGCACCTGCATTGTATTGTTCGAGGAGCCTATGTTCAACCCTTACCTGTGGATTGGCCCCGCCTGCATCTGCTCTTCAGCTCGCCCAAGCGCTGCGAGAACCCCATGATACGGCCTGTAGCTGTATCTCTCCGCACTTGGGCTGGGCCCGTCCTGGCATGAACACAGGAAAATAGTTCACCGTTGAACACAAGACGAAAGGTTCACGGCAAGTGCCTGCGTGCCGTCTGGCACCATGTCGTCCTCAAAGAGGGCACCACATGATAGCAACACCGAGACCTCTGCTCCAAACCTATCCAAACCGTGTCCTTTGAAGCCGCCATTGGGGTTGAGTCCTGACATGAACACAGGTAAAAAAAATCACGGTTGAACACAGGCCAGAGATTCACGGTAGCCTGGTGGGCGAGTGTATCCTGTGTGCCATCCTCAAGCATGCCGTCCTGAAGCGGGGCACGGTAACAGTAACAGCAACACCCATCATCCAAGCCATGTCCTCGGGAGCTGTCGTGGAGAGGCTCCGAAGCACATCAGAGGTGTCTGCTTTGAAGGATTCTTCCTGACATGAATGAACAAAGGAAAAACATCGTCGTAGCCTTGTTGGCAAGTGCCTCTTGGGTGTCGTTTCGCACCACGTCGTCCTGAAGCGGGGCACCGGCAGCACCAAGACTCCTCATCCAAATTTGAAGGCATGTCCTCCGCTGTATCAAAATCCATTCTCAAGGATCGGCGAAGCTCCATGGGGGTCGGCAAGACGGCTGCCTTGCATTATTTGCCAAGGGCTTGTTCTAGTTGATGCCTTAGCTTAGTGAGGTGTCGTGGCGGTACATGCGCCGGTATTTGTTTCGAGAGTTTCAAGGTATTTAGAGGAATTGACTTACAGTATTCTGATAAAATGCACAATGACAAGTAACAATCTTTTGCTCAGACTAAGCACCTTTATGTTGTTCCTAGCACCACGATCTAGATGGGAGAACATGGAAACCTCGTCTGCTGAAGCCAGGTTGGCCAGACTCTGGGTGTCCTGGCAATTGGCAATCTTCAGTTCGCGCCGGGACCTTCTCACTCTTTGATTCGGCTCCTCGCCGGACAAAGTCGCAGCCACCTCGTCCAGAAATGGCTCCTGGTCACTTGATTGAGCATTATCACAGGGGCTCGGGGAAAACATCCGTCCTCTTCTGTCTGCGCATCATCTGGGCCCTGACAGACGGCGAAGCCCTCACCGACACCCATGTGATGGGCCCACCCCGCGGATTCGAGCCTCTGCATGGCCTTTCTTCTTGCCGCTGGACTTTTTTGGCGTTTTTTTTTTCTTCTTTTCCTTCTCCTTCTTCGTCTTCTTTCGGCTGTTGTTTGTCTCCTTCTTCGAGGTCTTGGCAGCCGGTTTTTTTTGCGGCTTCTTCTTCTTCTTGGACTTCACGTCGTCGTCCTCGTCGTTTTCGTCTTCGTCTGAGTCTGCGTCGTCCGTGCAAGGCTCGCTGGACTCCGAGCCTTCTTCTTCTTCTTTTTTAACTCCTTTCTTTTTTCTCGCCGTCTTCGGCGCCGCCTTCGGCTTCTTTCTTTCTTCTTCTTCCTCCCTGCGGTACTCCGGCAGGGGGTCGCGAGAGGCCCCCGCTGCCCGGCCGCTTCCGCTCGGCCCCGTGTTTTTGGCTGTAAGACTGGACGTGTAGTCTTCCAGCCTGAACTGTGGCCGACTATATGTCGCCGGATGCGGGCGCGGGGGCACGTATTCCACAGCTTCTTCCGAGGAGGCAGACGACATGACTTGAGCCGAAAACTGCATTATTGCCAGTTCCGCCGGCTCACTTATAGTCAATTGTCAAACAGATGGAGTGCAAGGCCCAGCAGGTTTTCGAGTTTAAAGGAGCGCCGTCGTGGCAAAACGGCCGACAGAGCCTTCCCCAGCATGGCTTCACTCAGAACCAAGTCTTGAAGAGTTGCTATTTAGTCTTATGGGCCTGTGGAGGCCGATGATACACGTGAAGCCTGCTTCCGCTCTCCGCACCTAGCACTGAGCACCTACATGATCTGGTAGACACCCGGCTCAACATCGAAGAGGCCCTTCAGAACGAGCGCGGGCCGCAAGGGAATCAGGCGGGCCCACGAATCCTCGGCAGCTCGATCGTACCGGACGTGCCAGGCAATGCCCAAGGATTCGCACTGCTTCAGCTTCGCGATGTCGAGTGTTCGACCCCACGAAAGGGCAGGCACCGCCTGTAGCAGGAACAACCGACAGTCTATTTATGGTTCTGTGTGTCTTGGGGTTTAAGGGTCTAGGGTTTGGGTTTGATTGACATGGGATTATAGGGATTAAGATTATATGTCTATACATATCACCCACACGAAAACACTCACCGGGTGGATGGGGGAACGGCGCAACTAATTGGAAATCCGGGTGTCCTGATTCTTCTTCTTGTTGGATTTCTTGATCATCTTGCCCGTTCTTTCGAGGCTGTCCAAGACGAAAAGGAGAAGGTCCTTTTCGTTAATCAAGTTCTCCGCAAGGTTCACCTCGTGGTGACTGATCTGCACCTTTGCCTTGCAATTCATGGTCCGGTGTGTCTTCGGGTTTAAGGCTTTACGGTTTAGGTTTAATTGACATGGGGGTAAGGGTTACATGTCAATGAAGCTAATTCCAGAAAATCAAACACTCACCGGTGGGTTTTCTCACAGTCGCCTCCCCATGGTCCTCCATGGCTTTGAGAAGCGTTTTCACCGGCGTCGGCTTATCAAGATAGGGCAGGTCCGCGAGGTGCGACGCGATTTTCTTCTTCTCCAAGATCAACAGGCTGTCGAAGTCCAAATGGAACTTCAACAGTCTCCCGCCGTCGTCCTCGCTGCCGATCTCTGCCTGGAAAGGCGCAATTTCATGGAAGCATCGACCCCTCAAGGACCCTGAACCCCCAACTCAAAGCAACCATTCGAAATAAATGTCAATCCAAGAGTCCAGCGTCTTCGCGGCATCTTTGCCATCCATGAAGGTGCCGCTGCCAAAGCTTGCAATCAACTTGCCGGAAAGGAAGGTCGTCGCCTCGTCCACCTCCGCCCAGATCTTGTCACCACTTTCCATCTCGTGGATGAAGCGAACAGTGCCGCTCACGTTCAGAACCGACCTGAAGCAATGAGTCAGTAATCTGAGTCACAGAAAGTTTCACAATGATGACGTATAGATGAAATTAAAGAATACAAATTAATACATACAAAGAAACGGATTCTGGAGTTCGGCGATGTCCTTGCTCGTGAGGGGCTCCTCGTGCTCCACGAGCTTGATCCGCTTAGCCGCAGACTCCTCCGACTCATCTGCGCCCGCATCCTCGCGCACCCGCTTCTTCTGCGGGTTGTACTTCTTGTCGTGCTCCTCCATAGCCTTGCGAAGGTCTTCGGATATGTCGTCGAAGCCCTCGAACTTCTTGTAGAAGCTTTCCACCAAAGCCAGGTCGCCGTCTGGTAGAGGCCTTCCTGCATGCCTGTCCTTACGCTAGAATTGTACGCAGAAGCAAAACAGTACTTATGTTCAACTATGCAAAAACTAGTTGGCTGTCCTCAACGCTAAAACTGTACACAGGTGTAAACTTGTACTTGGGTATGTGTGTGGCAGGTGGATGGGAACTGTGTGATTCAACTGTTAGGATCGACCGTATGCGGGTGAGGCAAAAAAAACAAAAAACGGATTCATGGGTCCTTCCAGCCCCATGGAATGCCCCATGAACCCTGAAAAAATAAGCCCTAATCCCTACATTTATATGATGTTAATATAATGTGAGTATATATATATACATATATATTCATGTGTATATATATATATAGATATGTACACATTTAGCGTGGGTGTATTTTTAGTTCGGATTGATCTTATATTTCAGCGATTCAGATCTAGGGGCCGGGACCGATCGGAGTCCAAGTATATGTGTTCGATCTTGACTTACGGAGGTCAGGATTTGCCCGGTGATGACAAATGTCGCTCGGGCCGGCAGCTGGGTGCTGGCTCGATACCAGAGATCAAACGTGCTGCAAGATTTAAGCATGTGTGTACACTGCGTGTCTAAAGAAGTGTTCTAGGTGCATCAGTCGATCATAGCCATGGCAGATGCGGGCGGTTCTCCCGCCAGATTCTGCTTGGCGACATTCAAGAAGTCGCCAGACGCAGCTGTTGTTACTGAGTGCTGGAGCGACATCAAGATACCCCAGGAGCTTCAGCAATGAATAGATTCACTTTGCGGTGGTTCTTGGCCGCTGTAGGGGGGGCGCGAAACTTTAACAATATATGAAGTTTTCTCAGGATGGCTTCGTGACGGCAAGTACCGACTTGGACTCTGTCGAGAAGTGCGCGGCCGAACAACGCAACCAGATGATTGAATCCAACAAGGATGTGCTGCTCGCGAAACTTGCAAATCTACCTATGCATATGTATACCCCGGTACTCATATCTTCTTCCGATGCAGAATACCCTCGCACACTCCCGACTTTATTCTAGTTGCGGAACGATCACAACCTTACGTTACGTAGGGAACACCGGCCCTACATCCAGGAGCCTTACACTCTGAGCCGTGAGTGTGAGGACACATGTTTCTCGAGCTAAGGACGTTGACGGCTTTTTCTCGGCTGGGCAAAATCGTTCCGTCTGATGGTCTATTCTGGTGTATCCAGCAAAAGTACAAGGACTAGAATTGCTTCAAAACCTACACACAGGTATCCTGATACGGTACTCCGAATTGGATGGTTTTGCGTGTGCGCCTTCCTATATAGCTTGGAGGACGATGACTGCGACTGCAAGCTTGCTCACGCGCAAGCATCTGCGCTGAAAGCCTTGGCTGCTCGGGCACCAAATTCTTCGTGGGCACAGCAAGTTACATAGAAGTCGGTTTCAGAGGGTTTGCAATTTTGCAAATACAATATGTTGCTGGAGTTGTTAGGTTTCTACGGCTGGGCGCTGGAGACTTCGTGGGTACAGCTAGTTACACAGATGGGCTTCAAATGGATTGCGGTTTCAATTGTTGCTGGAGTTGTTGGCTTGCCAGTGCTGGCACTCGAGAATTTATCCATTGTATAGGAGGAAAGGTTTGGGATTTTAGGGTTTACGGGTGTAGGGTTTTAGGGTTGGAGTTCTGGATGCGCGAATCTCCTTTCTGAAGAACTCTGGATATCTCGGGGTCTGGGATGTTTCAGTTAATACGTCGGTGCTATATTGTATCCGAGGTGTGAGACTTTGGAGGCCTAGGTTTTGAAAGGGATGTTTTCACCTTCAGTTTGGGAGTCTAGTTAATTCTGATTCCCGCGCAGACCAACCACATCATCCGGGAAGCGAAGAAGACCAAGAAGGCACGTGTGTCCTACATGAAGGAGCTGAAGGCTCCTGGGCACAATCAGCTTTCTTGCATCATGTCAAACTGCTTAGCCATTGCTGAGAATTCATAACGTAAAGTTAATACACTGAGGAAGCTGTCGACGACAAACTGTTGGAAAAGAAGTACACTCGTGCCAAGAAGAACAGTGATGAAGCCTCGCCGGGTGCCACAGGAGCCCATATCTCCATCTAGAATTTAATGTAGAAGTTGCAGGCCGCTGAGCTCTTGATACATGCTTTGGGCAGGAGAAGTTCCACGAATCCCCTCTCCAGCGAAAGCCGTTGTGGAGGCTGTCGTGGCCCACGTTGTTGCAAGCCCGCCGGTAGTGGATCCGACAGAGCAATACAAGACCCAGATGCGACGACGATTGAACCAGAAAACAGCCCCGGAGGCTTCTGAATCCTGCGGTGCCATGTCTTCATTAGCTTCTGATTCGATCATGCTATCACATTGACAAATAAAACTCTCGAACCCCGCTCCTGCAATTCAGGTCCTAGCCTGAAAGTGTGGCCTGCAAATCCCTCGGGGGAGGCCGATCTGAAGGACTGCGTAACTGTGTTCAGGATTGCTGAGGATCCGGTCTGCGTGCATGGGTCCTAAACTTGTTCATTTCGGCAGTCGTTCCACATGTTGCAGGAGTACAAGGGGATGAGTGTGATGGGACCCGATGGCTTGTTGCAGCCAATTCCTGGAGAACCCCGCAACTTGGCTTCCCTTAATATGCCAACTCAATTTTCGGCAAGGGTCTTACAGAACGGCCGCGAGGTGCTGTCGGCGCAGGATCGGCAGGTGTCGGCGCCAACGGGGATCAGCAGCCTGGGGGCTGCTAAGTTTTAGGGGTTGTTGGGCTTTGTGGTTTATAATTCGGAGTTATATATAGGGCGTACTTAAGCTATTTCGGGTTGTGGGCTCGAGTTCAGGGTGATATTAGGTTTTCCCGTGCTGCTTACATGCATGATTATTGAAAGGTCCGGCTGTTCAAGAACAGCAAGACGAAGAGCAGGATCAGGAAGACGTTGGAGAGCAAGAGGACGAAGAGCAGGATCAGGAAGAGGATGCAGATGCACAGGAGGAGGATGAAGAAGGAAAAGCTGGGGATACCGAAGAAAAGGATCCAGGCCATTAAACACTTCACCCTTTGCGAGCTCTGTGAATGCTTGTGTGCACGTGCTTCTGTGTGCGTGGGTGGCTGGGTATGGCTGGGGTGGTTTGTACACCAATGTGTGTTTAGGTAGGTTGGAGGGTGGCACCTTTTTTTTTGGTGGGCTGTGCATGGTGGTAGTTCACACTTTGTGTGCTTGTCTTTGCGGGTGTAGTTGCGTGGGTGTGCGTGTGTATGTGTGTGTGTGTGTGTCTGTGTCTCTGTGTGTGTGTCTGTGTCTGTGTTGGGGGGGGCGGACGGGTGGGTGGGTGGGTGGGTGGGCGGCGGGGGTGGGTGGGTGGGTGGGTTGGCGGGCGGGCGGGCGGGCGGGCGGGCGGGTGGGTGGGTGGGGTGGGTGGGTGGTGGGTGTGGTGGGTGTGCGTATATAAGGTCAGTGAGTCTTGCGATGCTGCATGTTCAGGCGAAAACGAAGGCGAGCAGCCTGTGCCTGGGTGGCAAAGTTCTTGTGCGCTTGTCTGTGGACAGCCGTTCGGTACATGATCCAATCAAGTATATACAGTTATATAAGGACAAGAAGAAGAGAAAAGGACCGCAGAGCGGTCCACTATGGAATGCGTTCCAGGTCTTCTTGAGGACTCCTATGTAGGGTCATAGCTCTCCCGATCGACCCCTCTGCGGTTTCTCTGCAAACACATACGTAACATAATCGTCTGCAGGAGTGCTATGCAGGAGCACGGCAAGAGCTTTAAAGCGATCTGGCAGCATTCGGTTATGCATGGCTCGGATTGACACAAACTCTACGTCTCTACGTACGACCACACAATCTGAATGCACCGTTATACAATTAATCCTCCATCTCCTAAACTATATAAACCCGACTTAATAGTTGAGATTAGTGATTGATTTGTCCCCGCTGACTGATCGTATGACAGAGGATCAAACACAACTGAGGAAGCACAGCAGCTCTGGAAGCACAGCGTGATTCGCTCGCTACTTGGTCCGATACTAACTAGGTCGAGTGTCTTCTGATCTGTGTTGTGTAGATTTGATCTGTTTTGAATACATTCGTTGACTCTCGCAAGGGTCTTGGTTGACGCCATTCCGGACAAGAAGCGCAGGAGGCTTGGCTGATGGCTGCTGGATCCTGAGAAGCAACGAAATGTTACGTTTGTGCCGAAACGTTTTCGGGCCAGCCCCGAAGATTCTTCAAGAGCCTTTGGGTTCTTTTTGGGGAGATGGCACGTCATGGTTCCTGTGCTAGACCTGAAAGTCTTCATATTCCTTTGACCCCAAACCTCGACTATGTGGTAAACTTGGGGTCTCGTACGTACAGCAGGAACCGTGGAAAGCCTAGTACTGCTTTGGCAGCCCATGCTATCGCATCTTCGACGCTCTATGGCTTGGCAGTGAAGGTCTTCAAGGATTATTGGGTTCTGGTCAATTTACTCATTGAATGAACTGCAATCTACAGATTGGGCATGCAAGATACCTTCACTGTGTTTGCCGGTCCTCAGAGCATTATACAATTCGTAATTTGGAGATGGGCTGCAACTTAACACTGCACAGAAAGCGCTGGATCAAACACTAAACATATACCCAAGACTCGCTGTGCTCTGAACCAGTGGAACTTGTGCTGTGTACAGCCTTTCCTGATTCTGTCTCAATCTAGCGAGGGGTCCCGAAAAAAACGGTTGTCGTGCTGTGCCGTATACGTGGACATGTGCATGCTACAAAAGAGCATTGTGATGTGCTGCATGTGTTGTCTGCCCTCCGCTGCAGTACGGCAGCACTCGGACACGAGAGCCCGATGAGCATCACAAGTACGCTATGAGTAGTGTGCAGCAGGTTCAAACACTGTATTGTAGACACTATGCCGGGACCATGGCCTGTCGTCCGCAATCTTCTAGCCCTGGGTCTGCTTTTTCCTCAGCTGATTGACAAGCCAAAATCGTGATGTGCGCCCAAGCCTGCGTTGTTAACGGCTTGTAGGGTTGCTTACCCTGTGCACTGAGACCTCGGACTATGATACTGCTCCTGGTTCTGCTCAACTACATGCAAGATATGGAGGCCACTCAGCCCGCAGGATACATAGCACTTTAATTGGTGTGGGGTATGCGACAGATTTTGTTTTGTTCATGGAGAGCCAAGACCGCCCACGCGGATGAGCTCGACGTGCTGGAGCTGTTTGCAGGACGTGGTGTTGCGCAGCTGCAGTTGTTTTGGCGACACGTGCAGCAGACAGATCGAATAGATTGGTGTTGTTACATAGTGACATAGTGCGGTTCTCTGTCAGCCTGAGGCCATCCATGCTGCTGCACTAAATCGTGGCTTCCGAGCCCGGCGAATGGATATTATCGACAGCTCCACCAACGATATCGGGGCTCCCTGGGGATTCCTGTGCCTGGGACAGTACCGCCTGTGTAGCGTAAGTCTGTGGACGTTCTTGTAAGTTTGGCAGCAAAGGTTAGCGATGCTGTACGTGCGCCGACTTCGTAAGCATGGACTCCTTGTGGCAGCACCGAAATGCTCCCTGGTGTTTATCTTATGAACACTTGACTAGCAGCAGGAATGCAACAATTTCAAGGCTGCGATACTAAAGTGGGGCTGGGTATGTTATGGAATTGAACCTGGTTTCAGTGGGGCTATGATTCACGAACACACGTTTAGGGTTCAGGGCTTCCGGCTAGATCCTGTAACTAACATCGCATTTACAAGCCTCAAGCCTCAAACTTTATACACTAAATAGGGTGTATCTATACATAGGAAGGTCTAATGCTAGTGTGCAAGTTTCGCTTCCGCATCCCTTTGCATAGGGATGGTTCGCTAGGGATGGTTCGCTTAAGGATTGATCTAGTGAGTTTTGTGCCGGATTGTGCTCGCTTTCAACAGTAGTGGGTTCAGGGAAGGTTTCAGGGTGACTTTGGTGCTACGATTAAGAGTCGATGTACAAGTTGAGGTGCGGGGGGGTTTCTAGCCAGGAGTTGGCATTGTACGAATCTGACTCGTGTACTTTGGGGCTCTGGGTTTCTGATCACGGGGCAGCTAGATTCCCAAATAATTCAATATCCTGTCGTGTTACAGTACCAGTGAAATCCAACCAAGCGTATACTTCTAAGAAGTAGTTTCGGTATATAGCAAGCTCCATTATTAATCCCCCCGCCCCGTGACTCCGTCGATCTCACCCCTAACTCCAACACTCTGTATAATTATTGTATACATACTAGACCTCTAGAGCACATGCTCTGCCCTATACACTGACCGAAAAACCTGAGCTTGCAACTCCCTTGCCGAAACCCACAGACCGAACGCCTGGACCTGAACTGATCACCTGCCGCCCCAATTCCAGTAGCAAAGCTTTGCACCACAAAAGGTCCGGATGTCTACGGCTTTTGGGTTGCAGGTTGAGTGGTGTCGAGGTTTATAAGTTAAGTCCATCAGTTCGTAGAAACGAACCTGCGGGCTGCTGCAAGGATAAGCTTATAAGACTGAGGGTACCTTTGGGGTGCAAGCCTTTCTTGTACTGGCTTCAGCTCCAGGATGCTAGCTCTGGCATTTCCGAATATACAGTCAAGGTTTCGGGATCCTCGGGTTTTGGGCCACTGATATATATATATATATATATATATATGTGTGTGTATATATATACATACATAAAACACCACGGGACCGAAGCATGTATAATATATATATATATATATATATATATATATATATATATACATATACATATACATATACATATACATATACATATACATATACATACACATATACATATACATACATATATATATATGTGTGTGTGTGTCCGGGTTTTTAGTGTTCAACTCTGAGAATAATCGTTATATGGACCTAGAATATCGAACTTACCATAGCTATACACCTTTGCTTTGTTCCTGGAAATGTCTGGTTGGAAACAATTCATTCCTGTATACTTCGAGTTTGTTTCTGTAAGGATTACACGGACCCCTCAACCCTTCCTAAACCCTTAAACTCCCCGTGCCACCCGAGCACCAACCTTTCATAATCTTTACAGTACTTCCGGGACGTGGCCCCGGCCACTACCCAACCTACCCACTTGCAGCCTGTGGTTGCTTGAAGCCAAGCCTGGCCGGCCATGGTGTCCATGATGTATTCGTAGGCATAAATAATCGCCAAGCAGTGCAGCGACTGGAGATCCTGGGCTCAGGCATCCAATTTGTCCAAATCAGATTCGTACTTGTCATGCATCAGTCACCAGCATGGGGGTGGTGCGTTGCTAACCATTATAGGCGGATGAACCAGCTTGACATTCATATTAACCTGTCGAGTCGCAAACGACCAAGGACTGGCCCGGAACACTTGTCACGGCTGCTGCGATCTGTAATCATGAAGTAATTCACGACGAGACTGTTGTTTTACTTGTGGGGACAACACGCAAGTCGGTGGCATTAATACCTACACTCAAGAGGGCATCGCCATATGCTTTGCAGGGTTCCAGCTGTCTGCCTGAATTAATGAAGGATGACGACTGATTTTTGCTTGCCCGGTGCGCCACTCCGAGCAATGAACGACGGTTGCGCTTGAAGACACCACCTTATCTTGCTTGTTTGCGGCCCTGCAACCTGTTCTGGAACAGGAACCACGATCCCCTGCCACCCCGATTGCGTGTGCGTAACTTGTTGTTGACACGGCCGTACAGGAGTGTGTTTAGGCAGCGACAGCTTAACCAATTGTGGCACAAGCGTCTCCGCGCATAGGTCCCGACACGTCGGCCTTGCACTCCTTGGCTTGTCTCTGTAATTGTGCGAACCATTGAGTCGAGAGCTAGAGTCTAATAGAGACCATGATTACCTATAGTCTCCATTGTAGTTCCTTTTTGGGGTTACCTTAATTATAGGATCCTAATAATTATATGTTTGGTTAAACCAGAAAAAGGAACTACAATGGAGACTATAGGTAGCGGCTAGCGCTAGCAGCCATACAACAGATAACGCGTATTGGCGTATTGTATACGTGTACTCAGCAATTTCTAGGCCGCACTATGGGCACGATGATCCAACATCTTGCACTCCGGCATGTACATGTGCACGCCGTGGATACCGGAACATGTTTGCGCTTGCAATTGAATACCGAGCACACACAAACTCGCGTTTGTGAGCGGTCTTGCCCCACCACGGTTGTAAACAGGACGGGTTAAGGGTTATCGTTCTTGGTCGCGGTCCGTGTTCATAGTGTACGGGTATGTCACAATACATCTTAAGATGGCTACTGCGTGGGAAAGAATTGAATTGAGTGTTTCTTTTTTTTCTGAACGAGCTGCCTGCTTGGACTGGACGAAAGTACGTCTGTGATTGCCTCATGTCATGTATCAGCTGAGGTTCCTCTTGGTCGTTTCTCAGTTCGTCAAAAACCGGGCGTTGTTTCCTGATGCCGCTGGGTTTTTCTTCCTGCCCTTCGGTATCCAGCGGCAATCTGCTGGCACGAAGGTAGGGCATTTGATATAGATTGCATCTTCGGAGAAGAGCATTGCAACGGTCTGTTGGACATTTGCTGGTTTCGGGCAGGACATGCTTGCTGCTCGAGATGGCCATGGTGATGGATGTCTGCTTTTTGCTGGAACAGCCGGTGCAGGGTGTGACTGGTGGCATGCAATCCATGCCGTGCTACCAGAGCCTGTTCGGACGGCAAACAGTCATGTTCTCAAGAAACAACAGAGAGGGAGGGATCTCAGGGAGGGAGGGACGGGTGAGCCAGAGAACAGACAGAACAACATGAGACAGATAGGCAGACAGACAGACAGACAGACTATGTGACTCAGGTTTACCGTGTACAGCTCTGCATGTCCGCCTTCTCGGCACCAACAAAGAAACCGACATATTTGTACAGCAACCATCGATATCTGAAGGCCGGGCTCATCTAAGGGATCTGCAATGTAAACTAGGAAAGTGTGCTCTTTATAATCAGCCCCGAGAACCACTTAAAAGCTGCAGGTTTTGATGCAGCAAGCTCGAAGACAAGTCCCAGATCCTGCTGCCTTCAAGACTGTCAGAAAAGCGATCGTGAAGAGGCATACCGATGCCCCTAAGCTTCAAAATCCCTAAAACCCCAAGCTCTTCTCCCATGCTTCCCGATCTGAGGCAAATGGGAAACAACGAGTCAGTGGCATGCAGGCCGATGTCAAGAAGACCGAGAATCTTGTCTTTAAAATGAATACAGTCCGGGCAGCGGGCACGGGTGCGGACGTGTACCGTGTACGGGTTCCTTCCTAACTTGCTGCTGCAGCAACAGTCAATATGTCATATCAAGGGAATACACCGACGAGTTTGCCGCTGCCGTCATGGACATCTGGCAAACAGCCACCTGTGATGTGACTAGACAGTGCACGTGTGTATCTATGTGTGGGGTGTCGATCTATGCACGTACTGCACTACTATTCGGCAGCCCATGTGAACATGTGTTTCGTATCAGGATACATGTGCGGCATGTGCCAACGAGAAGCAGTCCAAGCAGCTCTTCGTGCCGAAAGCTGAGTGGGACGAACCTAGCGAGATACAGTTGCTCTTCTCGGAGCCTCTGCAGTGGGATGACGATGTTTCTTGCCCAATCTACGACATAATACGGCTTGTTGGGGCTACGGCTCTATGGTTTAATTGTACTGGGGAGCTGGTGTCTAGACAGGTTCTACTTATGTTTTGGAACCTATATTGGGATAAGACATATACTCATACATTGGGGAGCTCCGGGTGCTATAGACCTTCTGGTTGATGGGGCTAGGATCCATTCGAATCTAGCCGGGTCGTGTTATGTTGGGAGCGAAGGTTCTGCTTATTGGGGCTACAGTGTCTAGAGTGTGTTTGTTGCAGGGTACGTGTTATGTATGCATATGGAGCTACTGCATATATATGGGGTTGGGCCAGTGGATAACAGCTTTGCTTGTGGCAGCCTAGAAGAACAGAACTTAAGGCCTTTGCTTCTTTAAGTATCATGGGGATTACATATATGTAAGCATATATATATATATATATATATATATAGATGGGGTCATTAATATACAGGGTTGTGTTTGGGGGGATGGCTTGTCTATATATAGCTCTGCTTATATAGGACGCCGTTTAGAGCCTTACAAGCGCCCTGCTACTTCCCCAAAAGGTTAAGTCATCAGGTTTTGCTTATTGGGGGGGGGGGGTTATTCTACATAGGTTGGTATGTTAGGATTAAGTCACTAGGTTCTGCTTATTGGGGGTTATTCTACATAGGTTAGTATGTTAGGTTTAAGTTATTAGGTTCTGCTTGTTGGGAGTATTCTATATAGGTTAGGTTTTGCTTATTGGGGGGGTATTCTACATAGGTTCGTATGTTAGGGTTAAGTCATATTAGGTCCTGCTTATTTGGGGTGTTCTACATAGGTTAGTATGTTAGGTTAGATTACATTACACACTCCTCATTTTCAACTCTACTTATATCGGTGGTCTAGCCTTCAAACTTCAACCTTCCATGTAGGAAAAGCCCACACGCGCCTGTGTGTAGTTGTTGTTTAAGATACATCCGGAGACAACCCCAAACGATACACCCAGAATCCTGATGACCGACAACTGCGGATAACAAAACGAAGGCTTTTTCTCAGAACCATGACCAGCAGGGCCCAGTAGGATGTGGAGATCTATATATACATATATAGATATAGATATAGATACAGATATAGATACAGGTATAAAGGCTACATATTGATGTATCTTCTCGAGCACTATTCTAAGATCACACATATCTATATATATATATATATATATATATATATACGAATATGTAGATTCAACACTTGTTTCGGAGTAGTACAACCGCCACTAAACCAATGCTTTCCTTAAAAATTCAACCAACAAGCCTTATAAGCCTACATAAACCGCCTGCCCTCTAGCATCCCCAACTCTATTTATCCAAGCAAACCCATGCTCATGAAAAGGACCGCTTGCTGGAAGTGGCCCAATGGATGGTGGCGAGCGGCAGGCTTCATCTACCTGAGATGTGGCCGCACCCTTTTATCTGAGTCCGGGGTTCTGGCTTACATATGAGCATCTATTGATGAGGGCTTTCGTGTTGCCACTTATTGAGTTTTCGGGGTACGGGTGTGTGTGTGCTTCTTGCTGTTTTCAATGCTGAAGCCATCAGAGAGTTCGCTAGCACAGTGTGGATCAGCATTCCTCTCTAGGACCTAGATCTAGCTATGGTCTCACGTATAGCACACACTCGCGTTTTGTCCGGGAAAGGTCGCTGGGTCCAGACTCATGGATACGTATACACCCAAGTACAGTTTTGCATGGACGGGTCCCTAAGATTGAGTACACTTTTCTCTGCTGTATCCATACTCACGGATAGATATACACCCAAAGTACTGTTTTGCACGCATGGGTCCTTAAGATTCAGTGCACATTTCTCTGGACAGCTGCATATGACAGCCGAGGGGGTTGAGCGTCAAAAAGCGTCAAAAAGCGTCAAAAAGCGTCAAAAAGCGTCAACAAGTACAGTTTTGCACTATGCCTGTCTGATAGCCTCGATTCCGGATCTGTGCGGCTTTGGAGAATCAGCAATATGCTCGTGTGGTCTTGAGATCAAGCTTTTTGTTTGTGGCGCCCAGAGAACTTGGGGCCATTCTGTGAAGCATGGTGAAGAAATCAGCAGCTCCGGCCCCCAAAAGCTCGGGGGTGGGATCGGTGACTCAGCTTAAGCTAATTGAAGGGCACACGTGGGTGGATCAACCATGTCTTTTAAGGGTCTTGGGCTCATGTGCTTCGTCCGAGGCTCCTGATCCCAAGGCTGCGGTCGCCATCGATGCCAGTGTGTCTCTTGGTGCCTTGGGTTTGACTCCGGAACAACAGGAGTTGGTGAAGAGCCGAATGTTTCTTTGCGGCATATCGGGGGTTTCGGATTTTGGGCATTGCTAATCGGGCCATATGTACATCTGGTGCAATACAACCGGCCATAGGGTTTCTGATTTGTGCGAAACGTTCTGTGTTCAGTGTTCGAAAAGTGGGGTGCTTTATCATGGGGTGGGTCTAGCTTAGGCTGGTACGTATAACCTACATAATATCTAGAACCATTCATTCCTTCTTTAACTGAATCCGAACACCTACTGCCCTAAACCCTACATATCCCTCAACCTCAAATCCTAAACCCGAAGGTTCAAAGCCGAAGCCGATACAACTAAACCCCAAAAGCCCAAGACTAAACCCTTAGACCTTAACATACTACTAGATATTATCTAGGAAACCCAAAGCTGTACATTCACATCTCAGAGCCAATACATATGTGAAAAAGCAAGCTTGTGCTTTAACTCCTATATATGTGAACAATACTAGTGGGATTGTATCGGAAGGCCCTGGGGTCTATAATTAAGTCTGTTATAGTTGAACTGTTTCTTATATTGGTTATATGCTTTACACAGCCTGACCTCGTGGCCCCACCGTGCAGGTGAGAAGCGAAAATATGACGAATCCTAGATATACAGAATTATACGTACCACCCCAATCCTATTTCAACCCAGAAATCAAATCCTACAAACCAAGTCAAACCTTAACGTCCCAAACTGCCATCCTTGAGGCTTGCTCTGACAGGCAGCAGCCAGGCTGCTGCTCCGCGAGCGGTGCCACCAGCGACGCCTCCGGCAACTCTTAAAGCACCGAGCCCTAGCAGTACACCCGACAAGTCAGCCGCAGCTACAAGCCCTGAGACGGCAACTGCAGTAAGCCCGGACAGTTCCGGAAGCCCCCACACCACCCAGACGCCGACGGTCGAGATCAGCGCTCAGGACACTCAAGAGTGGGACGGTACGTGCCAGCCGACTCTGCTAGGTGCTAGTTTGTCAGCAGAGACACTAGTGTTGCCCGGGCGGTCAAGCAGCGAGCTTTCGCTTGGGCTTCAGCACGGTGCCTCTATCGATGCGACCCTGAAAGACCAGGAAGTGCTAGAGATTGAAAATGAACTGAAGAGCCAGCTGGATCAGGAAGCTGGCCAGGATGAGGAGGATGACGACGAACGAGCCGCGAGAGCGGCTATGGAAGCAGCAGCGGCTGCTTTGAAAGCGGCCAAGGACAAGAAGCGTGGAAAGGAGAAGGAAACACAGGAACGTCTCCGAAAGGAGGCCGAGGAGAAGGAGGCAAAGGAGAGGGAGGCTAAGGAGAAGGAGGCAGCGAAACAAGCCCTAGAGAGGGAAATCCGGGAGCGTCTGCGTAAGGAGGCCGAGGAGAAGGAAGCGAGAGAGAGAGAAGCGCTGGAGAGGGAAACGTGGGAGCGTCTCCGGAAGGAGGAGGAGGCAAGGGAGAGAGAAGCCAAGGAAATGTTGGAGCGTGTCCGGAAGGAGGCCCAGGAAGCAAAGGAAAAGGAAGCACAGGAGAAGGAGGCAAAGGAGAAGGAGGAGCTAGAGAGGCAAGTGCAGGAGACTCTACGTAGGGCGGCCCTGGAGAAGGAGGCTCAAGCGAAAGAAGCTCGGGAAAGGGACCTGCGAGAGCAAGAGACTCTGGACCAGCTTTACAACGAGGCCCAGCAGCTTTCGGCGAGAGAAGCGAAGGAGAAGGACTTAAAGGAGAAGGAGCACAAAGAACTGCAAGCCAAGATGAGAGAGGCGAAGGAACGAGAAGCCCAGGTGCGTCTCGAAAAAGAGGCCCAGGAGAAGGAGGAGGAAACAAAGCGAGTGCTTCAGCTACGTGTTGCTGGGGAGGCGAGACCGTTGAAGCGAGAAGCAAAGCAAGGGAACGACCCCCAGGATGGGACGGGCCACGCAAAACTGCTTGGGAGGGCAGCATCCACAATTTGCAAAGCATCATCTTTCGAAGACTTTAGTCTGCCTGCTGAAGTTATTCAGGTGCAGGCTTGGTAAAAGGTTTTAGACTTAAGTGTTTCGTGACGATTCCATGTCGTATAATGCTTAGTAGTAAATGTCTCCCTGCACAGACGCTGAGCCCCGTGGATGCCTCGGCCGCGATGCTGGCCAAGAAAGCTGGTGGCCTTAACCTCAGTGAGCCCAAGCCCAAGGCGTCAAAGGTTGCCCGGACCACCCAGAAGGACCATAATCATTTAGAAGTAAATCCGTATTTGTTCACAACCTCCCATGGTTCCTACAACAATACAAATTCTCCTCGCAGGACGATGAGTTTGCTCTTCCAGTGCTATCTGATGCTGAGAAAACGAGCTACAAGGATTGGTGGGGCCGGTTTCGCTCGCAGGGGTCATTCGAGCCACCTGCTTCAATCGATTATTTGTGAGTCGGGGTTGCAAGGCTTAAGGCTTAGGGGGATTGGGCTCTGGGTCTCCGGTTTGAGATTTGTGTTCGGGGCCGGGGTTATAATTTCAGGCTTAAGATCTATCTATGGGGGATTGGGCTCAGGGTGGCCAGCCAGGGCCAAAAACAAAACACGAACCCCCTAAAACCCTAGAGTCTTAAACACCTGATGATGCTATTTCTTATGTGTCCTTTAATCCGAACCACACAAAATATCCTTAATACAACAAAAGACACACACACACACACATACCAAAACATGCCGCTGCATGCTCAAGATTAGATGACCTTGGGGTCTATGCAGTCGTGTGTATATATGTATACATATGGTACGTATATGTACACACACCCATATATATATATATATATGTATATATTAACTATTTACCGGCACTACACATGCACCCACCTATAGTTACCTATGTACGTGCCTTTTCTACCTTAGAATGTATGTGCTGCCGACATCCTAGGTCGGTTGGCGGTACATCCGCCGCACCCGAAACGCCCCAATCCTCGGCTCCAGCAACGCCCCTACCGGCTCCAGCACCCACAGTGCCAACTCCGGCACCACCCACACCGGCTTCCACAACAGAAGCTCCCGCACCGTCAACGCCGGCTTCCACAACAGGAGCACCGTCAACACCGGCTTCCACGACGGGTGCACCGTCAACACCGGCTTCCACGACAGGATCATCAGATCAGACTCAGTTCTTGGCAAATTTGCTCGTGCAGCTGCAAGCAGCAGGCGCTGGGCCAGAACAGTTGCAGCCAATTGTGGATGCCATCGCCAAGCAATTTGTGCAGCAGCAGCAGCAGTCCCAAGCAGTGCCCGATCCCCAGCAGGCTGTGGTTGCCAAGAGTCCGGCATCTATGCCACCCCCGCCTGCAAAGGCTGGAGAACCGACACCCGCAGCACCCACCACAGCACCCGTGCCCTGTGCGCCAGGCCCCGCCCCTGCACAGGCAGGGCTAGTACCAAAGTCTCCCACTCCCGCTGACAGAGTCAACAGCTCGACGCATCAAGCAGAATACAAGATCTTTACGAGATTTTGCGAACGCCACGAGCATGCAGAGGAGTTGAAGAAGGCTTACGTGTCAGAACCCGAGTAGTGTTGCAAACAGTTTCATATCCAGTCAGTGGCTGCCTTATGATTAATTATATTGTATTGAGGAAAGGGGGGGCGTTCAAGCTCGCGGCTTTCCAAAAGTTTGTCCAGGCCGGTTGATTCTCGGCTTATAAGATGGATCTCGAGCTTACGGCTTAGGGATGCGTACGGCTAGGATTCTCATCTAAGGCAACGGTCTCGCCTTGGAGGCCGTGCTGCGCTTTAAGCGCCAGCACGAAGACATGTCGCAAGACGAAGGCTGGGTACTGTACTACTACGGCTTTATATATATATATATATACATATGTACCGTCGTTCTACATACAGGACTAACGTTAGTCCTGTATGTAGAACGACGGTACATATGTATATGGTACCGTAGCCGTAGTCCTAACTTCTTCAATGGTATTGCTCACCATACTGGGGTGTTGATCTACAACTCCTAAATAAAACCCGACACCTTATAACCATATCAATGATATCTATAGGAAGACCTGCTTGAAGCCTTAATGAACCCAGGACCACCCAAACTCAACCCTGCGAGGACCTCTGTTTCTGGAAAGCAAAAAAAGTAGTAGTGTATTAAAGTAGTAGTAATAGTAGTAGTAGTAGTAGCAGCAGCAGCAAGCAGCAGCAGCAGCAGCAGCAGCACGAGGAGGAGGAGGAGGAGGAGGAGGAGGAGGAGGAGTAGTAGTAGTCGTAGTAGTCGTAGTATAGTAGTAATAGTAGTAACACGTATAGTTGTATATAATCAGTATCACGTATACGGTTTCCAAAACAACTACCCCAAAAGAATGAAATCACGAATCGAGGCCACTACTATCCGTACAGCGAGATCCTAGACCTGTTCGGCAAGAACGTTCTGAAGGCGGACGAGTTCTGCAAGATGCGGGATACGCAGCCCAAAGGGCCCCTGTGCCTGCAAGATGTTGCATCCTTAAATGTTGCTGACGCCCAGAAACCACTCAAGCATACCAAGGACATCCCGAGACCGCAACGATCCCAACATCAAGACCTATCTCTACTTCCAAAGGGAGAAGAGGCAGCTTACGACCCGTTCTTTGGAGTCCAGGCTGTACTTATCCAGTGTGTCACACTTCTCGTGTATACGGATGAATAAGTGTACCAACGTTAGCTCTTATCCGAGGACGAGATTTGCATCGAGTTGGGGGCATCACCGGACTACACAACCCAAGTTGCTCAAATCCTGGAACAGGGCCATGACCCCAACAGTGCGTCGGGCAGCCGATCGTTGCAGCCTCCTCCTCCTCCGTCTGGATCCAATCCTGGTGGTGGAAACTCCGGCCAAGAAGTACCAGAGCCGAAGCAAAAGAAAGCTCGAGCCCCCAAAAAGCAGGCCTTAAGAATGGGTTTTTCTGAATCCTCCCAGCTCCATAACCCAATAGCCAAAATCCTAAACCCAAAACCCTTTAAGACGACCCTAAAGCCCAAAAGCGTGAACCCTAGAAATCCTAAACCCTTAAAATGTTCTAAACACCCTATAACATAAACCAACCCTAAAGCCCAAAAGCGCGAACCCTAGAAACCCTAAACCCTAGGGCCCAATATTATGGTCTCCGAAGCCACACTCCTATACACAGGGGTCGGAAATGGAGACTGACATTACGACGATGGCCGCTGCCGCAGACTTTAAGTTGGACGACTTTGTGACCACTTGGGTTGGTGCTTGTACGACGGCAGAAGGCAAAGCAATGGTTACGACAATCGAGTTACTGGGGCACTCGATAATCATGTCTGTCGGTGTTTTGTTCATGTTCGTGAAGCCACAGCAGTATTCTAATGCACATGATCCAAGGCTGGAGCCCCTGCAGTCCCAGTCCGAGCTGATTAAGATGATCAACGCAAGCAGCATGGGTATGGCTGAGATACGTAAGGAACTCCAGGCAAAGCAGAAGACCCTTACGATCGAAGCCCTGCAGACGATTCTTCGGAAGGCTATGCATTACAAGGGAGTGTGGGTTTGTATTGGGATCAGCTTTGGCTTCACGTCGTTGGGGAAGGGAATGGAGTTTCGGGGCCGCTGGGGAATCAATGGTCAAAGTCCTACAGCTTCTGCCTCTCAACAGGTGTACCCAGGTTTCACAAAAGGGTTGCCAACAACCCCAATAACCAAAAGCTCTGGTGAGGCAGCTCCCTTCGTCGAGGCTTACAAGCAGCACTCGAAGGTGGCTGCAAACCTGTGCCTAGTAAGCATCTGGCCGTGTGTCTAAACCCCGAGCCACTAAACCCTAAACCCCTTGACTCTTGACCCTTGAAGCTAAACCCTGAACATCGATACCAAGGATCCAAGGCTTCAACCGTGCTAACCGAAAGGCTGCACCTAAAGGTCCGCCTGCGCCTCCGAAAGCCACTCCGAAGGCTTAGTGGCTTAGTGCGCTTTTTGAAGAGTTTTGTTTTCGGCAGGAGGCCCGTAGCTGCTAAGTACTGTGTGCTGTATAGGGCTAGCATCCAATGCTTGGGCAATAAGAATCCTGTGTGACAACCCCTGAACCCACTTATTAGACGAGCGATGTACCCAATGTGCAAACCACGGTGCCTCCTGTCACAGGGCAGATATCGGCAATCGTCCGATACATGGGGCTGGGCATGGCGAGCAGTCGTGCTGAACACGACTGTTTCGTTGATTCGTAAAGTGTTCCTGATCTGGCTACGATGCATTTCTGTGTTCAAAGGGCTGCATAAATGGACCGTGTGCGTTCTCGCATCCCTGAGCAAAGCTTTGCACATGTGCGCCGGTTGGCAAAGTTTTTGATGCTGTCTCCATGAACGTGTCTCCGGTATCAAAGCTTGAACACAAAACCCAAATACCCGAAGGGCTACAATGTTCACTTTAATCTTACAGTGCCTGAAAGCGCGAAACCAAAACCCTAAACCCCTAACCCTAAACCCTTAAACCCCTAAGCCCTACAACTCCAATCCAGGCTTGTAAGTGCTAACAGAAACATGTACACGCGAATCCCATAAGGTGTTGGACTCCCCTGATATACAATTCCTAGATGACATGGAACCTCCAACTACAGCTAGTGATATTTGTCCAAATCCCTGGAACCTAAACCCAGTACCACCTTCTATCACTCGCCCAACCCAAAACACTGTGCCGGGAAATCGCAAAACTCAAACTCTGCACACTATTGTAGTATCCTGGGCAGCTAGAGTCTTTATAGGAGCTTTCCAAATGCGAGTGCATGTGTCATGTCCTTTCGGTGCTACGGGGATGGTCGATCCTGATGTGCAGTGGCAGTGAATGTGATTCAGATGTCCTTTGATTCGGTGCTGCGGGGAATGTCGATCCTGATGTGCAGTGGCCGTCAGTATGCTTCTGGCGGCAAAACGATTGAACAGAGAACGGCAGCTCGCTGCTGCAAAGCAACAGAAGAGCCGGAGCTCTGATTTTACTCTGAGGGCACCTCTCTCGAGGGTGCTGGCTTGGAATGTTGGACGTGGGCAGCCAGCTTCATCCGTGCAAACGATATCCGAAGCTGCTTCTGCTGAGTGTGATGGAAAGATGTCAAAAAGTCACTCGTATCCAACTTTCGTAGTGTTGTAATCCTTAAGGCTTGAACCTGTGAATTTTCTGTTCCCGGATACAATAATTGTAGCTTGCCTCTAAAACATCAGGTTTGGGGCAAACATTCGATGTGTGTGTGTGTGTGTTAGCGATTGTGGCTGCAGGCACACAATGGGCGACGACATTGGGTCGCCGCGGAGCTCGTGCGCAGCACATCGAAGAGAGCTTGCATCGCGCAAGCCATTCTTCCAAGGACGAAGCTTCGGTTGAAGCCAGCAATTCGGGCTTTGATTTGAATTTGTAAACATGTGCCTGTATGGGTGTAGGTGCGTGTGTTTTCGGGATTCGGGATCAGAGAAAAACAACCGAGACTCCATTGAAATGCGCGTTGTCTACGCCGTCCATTTTGGTGAAAGACAGAACAACGATCACTGCCAGAGAAGCCAACAGGACGAGGAGCCGCAGGAGACGAAACATCCTGCTACAAGCAGGAAAAAAGCGACCTCGGAAAAAAAGCAAACTGAAGGTTCCTGGGCCCAGCATCTACCAAGCCTGGCCTGTTCTGCGACCTTTCGATCTTTTTCGAGGCATCGTCAAAGCAGGATTGCTGAGTGAGCTGCAGCTTAGCCTGGCTTTACCCATACATTGAGTTTTCGGTTTTTGTTCTGTAAACAACACCAAGATTGCCAAATCAAAAGAACAGCTTTTCGATGATCAGGAATGAAGACTCCATGGACCTCGTGGAGTTCTGGAACAAAGCTCGCTTCGAGGACTGGGGGGCGCGACCGGGCTGCAAACATTCGATGTGTCTATGCGTGTGCTATTCCAATTGGTGCTGGTACCTGTGAAAGGTTTCTAAATTGTTTCAGTTTCAAACCAAGATTTGTGCAAAGCTGGAGCGATGCGGAAAAGGCAACTGCTTTTCCAATATCAATACACGGGGACGAGGGACAAAGCAAACGATCCAGGAATATGCTTATCATTTCTTGGTCGCCGCTGACAAGCTCCAAAGAATCGATGTATGGCAAATACCCCTTTTGTGTGATAAGAAGTGATTATTTCCACTACTTGGGGGACGAGAACGTGACTCTGTCGCACTTGCAGGAAGACTTGGTCAAGTCTTTGAACCTTTGTGCAGACCGCACTAATGGCCTTAATGCAACACTTCATGTTTGCGCAGGGAAAGGCGACTGGAAGTGGCGTCACGAATGGTTGCAACAATCCCGCTTTTATGGGCGCGTCACGCATGGAAGCAATGGAATTTGCCAACGGTGCTTTGCTGCCAAAAACGATTGGCTTGACGTGCACGAGCGATTCAACAATGCTGAAGATGTACTTCGGGCCCAAGCAACAGCTGTTGGCGAAGGCATTGCTATGAAGCAGCTAAGCGGCTGGACGCCCAATATGGAATTGCCGGACCTTTTGCATTGCATTTGGCTTGGCACGGGCAGGGACCTTGTCGGGAGCTTGTGCATGGAGATGGCCGAGACAAGGCAAGATCTGGTCGGATCAACATACGACGAACGCCTGGATTGTTTGAGGAGGGACATACAAGCTTGGTGTGCATCCCACGGCATCCGGCCGTCGACGATCGACGAACTGAGTTTCTTGTTCTTAAAGCAAACAGGAATTGGGCTGGTATTTGATTGTTTTGTTTCCAAGCGTTGTTTCTAAGGCGACGTAAATTTTGCGTTTAGGAAACACAGTGTTTTTCGAGGCCTGGCAAAGCTCGGCGTGGAAACGCTGAGCCTGGACTTTCCACAGGGCCCCTCCAAGGGGTACGCCAACAAAGTGCTGCAACTTCGTCTAATTTATTTCAACGGTGCCTGCTAGAAACGAAACTGTTGTCACATCCAGAACCATTAAAAGAAAACCTGCTGCCCAGGATTGCCTACTTCGCGGATACTCTACGTGTTTCTTGATCTATTGGTGTTTTTTTATTAAGTGGCTGTGTCAAAGTTTTCTGAACACTTAAGCGAAACAACGTCCGGCAAGTACTGCCCATCCAGGCATTAAGCTTAGACTTTAATTATCCCTGAACCCTAAACCCTAAACCCTTCCTTTTATATGCTACGGTCACTACTGCATTCGTTGGTTGGGTTTTCTTGGCCAAGCTTAGGACACATCGGAACCATCGATGCAGATGCAGTCTGTTTGCTGCTGGGCTTTGCATACGGTCGGTGCTGTGTGCGACGAAGCTAAGCTCTGGCTCTCTGATGAGCAACGGCAGCTTCTTGTGGAGATTCTTGCCAATGTTGAAGTTTCATGTTTTTCTATAGAAGGGCTGTATTACTATACGTCGGTATAGTCTTCTATGTAGTTACTCGTCGTCCTTGTCGTCGTCGTCGTTGTGATTTCCCGCTATATAAATCCTCATCAGCTAGGGCTGGCCGGCTATATGTCCAGACGTACATTGCTTTGGCCTCCAAAGCCGTGCAACAGTGCAGAGCTTTGCAGCTCAGCTTATAGACTGGAAGATTTGGGACGAGTTAGGCCTGTTCTAAAGGTTTATGGTTTAGGGGTTTCGGATTTGGAATGTAGGTCTTTATATTTAGGGGTTTAGGGGTTTAGAGTTTAGGGGTTTAGGGGTCTTGGGGTTTAGGGGTTTAGGGGTTTAGGGTGTTCGATTGGCACAGGTACAAATTACGCCCAAAGATTCATCAACTACACTGTCAGATCATCTGCCGGGCGGCATCTGGTGCATCTTTGAACCCCAAAGTCTGTTCTTGTTTTAAAGAAGAAGACTTTGTGGGCCATCTGTGTCGGGTGGCGAAGCTTTCTGTTCATAGCTCGACGCTGAGCAAGCGGATTCTGCAGAGATGGTTGTTACAATACAACGCGATGATCGTGCAGACCCGAGAGAATGAGAAACATCCGAAATCGCGTGTGGCCCCTTAAACCCCTAGTTTCCAGCAAACGGCCCGCGCCCCAACTCAACGATCCAAGCCCGAAGTGGCCTTGTATTCAACCCACACTTTCCAGCAAGCAGCCCGCACCCAACGGAACGAATCATGCCAGCCCGAATACTCACCCACAGCCCTAACACTTCGGGGCCGGTTCAGGGGTGTGACGGTTTGGAGCTTTGTGCGTTTAAGGCTTCTTGCAAGGGCTTCCGCGGTTAAGGTTTTTTGTAAGGGCTTCGGCTTTCAGTGTCAGGGTTTTGGGTTTCGCGCTTAAGGTTTCTTTTTAAGGGCTCTGGGTTCAGGGCTTAAGGTTTCCTGTCTAAGGTTTGAACGAAGGGCTTCGGGTTGTAGGGCTTCGGGTTTCGTCTTTAAGCCTTCGCTTAAGGGCATTGGGCGTCAGGGTTTAGACTTTGAAGACTTCATGCAGAAAGTGCCATCTTATAGTGGGGCGAGTCGACAGATTCAGTCCGAAACAAGATACACTTTTCAAGCTTATATATGATAAACCTTAAACCCAGTACCCTACTGTAAATAACGTTTTTTTTTTCTTTTTTTACGCCTGAGACCAGATCGTGTCTCGCCACTGTCCAGCAGTGACAACTTATTATGCAACATAGAGCTGTCGAGTGATCGGTGCTCTACTTGAGTAACAATCGTGCGTCCCGCCACTGTTCCAATGTTTTTCTTTTGCCTATGCCTCTTACGTGCATTTCCCCTCCGGCTAGCCGCATAGCCTACAGATCCAACACGGTTAACAAGAATGCTGATGTGCTAGAGCGTGTGAGCGTGTAAAGTTGGGCCTTCCGTGCTTGGCAGCCGCAACAACTGCAGATTCCCGCAGAGGCCGCCCAGCGCATCCTCCCCAGCGGGCGCGTTGGCGCATAGCCCCGCTGTCATATGCCGGCACTGGCACGTTGGCCGAAGGAGGAACAGCTGGGGGAATGCGTTAACCACCGCCCCACACCCGGCCAACGGTGTGGAGGGAGGTTTCCTATGTGCCTAGCTCCCTCTCGGTAGGGCTTCAACACCATTTTCCACTCCAATCCCGGGCGGGGTAATGATCAGCAACAGACCACGATCGCCAAGTACAAAAACACCCCGCGCGCAACTCCTAAGTACAAAAAGCCACAGTCCATAAGTACAGAAACAGCAAGAGGACAGGCGTGCAGGGAGCAGACTGAGCAGTTCGCTCAGCTGGCGGCCGCTCACCAAAGCTGGTGGCACAATGCTCTCACCACGGACTATGCCAATATCGGCGTGTTGGTCTCGTTCGTGGGTGGCCTTGATCATGGCAACTTCCACGTGCAGTGCGAGAGCAAGCTCTACGTGATGCAGGGGGCCGTGGTCTCAAGGGCGGCGCTCGCCGAGATGACCCACACCCAGGAGTCGGCTTCTCCGCTGCCGTTCGGCCCACCCGCTCTTGCTCAAGGGGCTTGGCGGCAGGCGGCAGTCAGCTCTGACACCGCTGTGCCGGAGACTTCTCAGATTGCCGTTCGCAATCGCAATCGGGCGGAGATGGAGTCACGGGCGCTCGCCCCCGAAGATCGTCCACCTGTTCAGCCTGTGGACTACGATCAGAACGAGGAGGAGGGCACCCGTGGGCACATGATCGATGCTGCCAACGAACAATGCTCGGCAGGATCGTTCCTTTGCCCGCTCGACGGCAAAGCTCACACCGGCACAGTTCGCCGAGCTGGCCGACACGTACCACAACCCGGCTGGTCACGCTACCTCTTCGGCAGCTCAGTCCTCCACGGTCGTGCGAGCCGGAGAACTTGCTGGCTCCAGCAGGAGAGCCGACCTCGTTCAGGCCGCACCGCACGCCATGATCCAGGCCGAGCTCGGAGGTGCTCACCCGTTTTGATCATAGGGTGTTCACCCCAAGATGCCGTGAAGGCGATTTAAGTTCTCGATCGCATTTTGGAGCCACGACTGCTCCCGCTCGGGCGAAAAATCTCGGAAGGCCGCCAGAGGACAGTTAGCAGTTCTGCACATGTTTTCACTGGAGATGTTCTTTCTCTCTCTCTCTCTCTCTCTCTCTCTCTCTCTCTCTCTCTCTCTTACCTTTTTCAGTGCAACATGTTCACAGTGCATGGCAGTCATGTCGTTCGTCGTTCGTCATGCCGTTCGGTTGGCCGGGAAGGTTGGTCGGGGCACGGCAACGACGATGCTCATGATGCCGATCTTGATTTTCTTCTTTCGCTAGTTTTGGCTCGGCAGGATGTTGCGGGAAGCAGCGCCAGCCGATCGCTGGACAGCGAAGATCCTTGCTTACCCATGTTTCGACCATGGGTTTCGCCAGGCGATCGTGGCGACCCGGCTTGCGGAGATCCCTTTTGTCCTTTCGATGGACGCCGGGACGCCCGAGCAGTTCGCCGCAGTGTCTCTCAACTGGACGGCCAGCTCGGCCAAGTCGGAGCACGACCTCCTGGCTCCGAGGACCCAAATGCTCGAGCAGTATTGGGTCTTCGTAAAGGCGGCGGAATCGCTCTTTGTCGAGTCTCTTGCTGCTGCTCTAAGGTGCCTAGAGAACGTTCTGCAAAGTCGATCGCACACTTTCAGCGGGAGATGGCCATCCGAGCTCTAGCTGCACCAGTTCTGGCTCCCTCGGCAAATCGAGGCTGCCGGCAAGCTCTTCTTCTCCCTCGGCGACTCCACTGCTCGACTTGGAGAACGCCGAGAAACAGAAATGGGCTAAGCGCCTGAAGGCGATCGCCGATCGGGCCGGCGAACATGCTCGGCCCGAAGGGGTCCACGATGCTGAAGGGATCCTTTCGGAAGAGGAACGCGCTCGCCTTCGGCTGTTGGTTTTCACCTCGGGGGCGCCTTCTACCATGGCAAACCACATTCGTAGGTTCGAGAAGTTCGAGTTGTGGGCTCGGCACGTGCCGCTCCCCCTCTACCCTATCTCGGACGACAAGATCCTGAAGTACGCCATGGAGCTCGACTCGAGGGAATGCGGCCCGACCGTTCTTCCTTCACTCCGCATGGGAAATGGGTGGCCTTTAGGGTCAACCTCAAGCTCCCCGCGATCGAGACGGCGGAGCTCAAGGCACTTGAGAAGGAGATCTTCACGCAGCGAGGGCGACCGCTGAAGGAAGCGATCGCTTTCCCGCTTGAGCTGGTCCAGGCTATGGAGCGCTTTGTCGCGAACGAAGCTCACTCTGTACCGGCTCGGGTGTTCCTCTGGTGGGTCCTCTGCATGATCTTTGCGTCGCTCCGCTTTGACGACGCGATCCACGTGAAGCCTCACGAGCTAGAGGTCAAGCCTGACGGTCTGTTCGGGATCTCCTGGCAGACCAAGACTGAGAGAAAGCGGCGCGGCACCAAGTTCATGGTGCCAGACGTTGCTTTTTCTAAAGTGGCTTGGTTCAAGATCGGAAGTGACTTGTTCGATTCGTAATTCCCGCTCGTGGAACGCGACTTCTGGATCCCCGAGCTCGACACAAAGGATCGCTGGCGCCAGACTCCCCCTGATTACGCTCGCTCTCTCCAGTGGCTCCACCACCTGGTCTGGCTCGCAGGGCAGGAGTGTGGAGTCGCGAGGGAGTTCCTGGACAAAGTCACCGATCTTACGTGGCATTCAGCTCGAGTTACTATGCTTGATCTAGCTGTCCATTGTGAACGATCGGAGCAAGAGATCGGGGTTCAGGCGAACTGGAAGAATCCAGGCCCGCTCGTTCTGAAGTACACACGCTCGAGGTCCTCTCTTCCAGCGAAAATGATCAAGGAGTTGGTGCAGGAGGTCTCGCGTGAGTTCGTGCCCCTCTGTGCTCAAGAAGATGACACGACCGAGGACGCAGAGGACAGGGATCTTTCATTGACTGAGTTCTTTGTCAAGGTCCCAGTCAAAGGCTCTAGTTATGACTATCGTTTTCATGTGTGTTCTGCAGATTCTGTGGAAGAGATCGCATGCAAACGCGCGATCACGCCCGAATTTACACACATCGGGTCCGTTCTGCCCGGCCCTAAGCTCTTTTGCAAACTGTGCGCTAAGGCTCGGCCGGACGTGGCTATCGCCTTTAAGGTCTAAAATCCTGAGCTGTGCTGTGCCTGCTCGCGCCTTCGTCGCATCTGGAGGACTCTGTTGAAGCTTGCTCAAGCATTGATTGAGGTTCTCTTGTGTTGATCGGCCATGGTCGACCGCACGGTCTACCCGAACAAGGACAAGACCCCTGAGCTCGCCTTGCGCCAGATCTTTGGACGGCAGAAGCTCCCCGAAGACTTATGCCTTCTCATGGCGGATAAAGGCATGCTCTCCGTCGAGCGCATGTCCATGCTCGGGGACTCCTTCGCGTCGGTGAAGGCGACGCTCCGCGCTATCGTCGGAGACGACACCCAGTTCGGGGCCGATGGTCCGGCTCAGGAGCTCTCTCTCACGCTCCTGACCGCGATCTGGAAGTCAGCCTCAGTTCTGCAAGAACACGTTGCCTCTCGGCGGGCCAAGATGGAGGAGGATCCGTCCAAAATACCAGAAATTCCTGGAGAAGATCATGCTGAGTTTCGCGAGCTCTTTGTCACTCAGCACCCCGACATCATCCTCACCTACATGCGCGAGCCGCACCGGAAGTTCGTCGAGAGGATCCACCGGGACTATATGGTCCATGGGGCGGTCGCCTTCTACGAGGTCGCTGAAATGCGCTCTCGCTCGGACCGCATGGTGCAAACACCTGGTTTCTCAAAGACTTCAGAGGATCTCCTGAAGGTGGTCCAGCTCGACAACAAGGTGGCGGTCGCCTCGGAGACGGAGGTCATGGACCGCCTCCACTCTTTCTTTGTGGCGCTCGAGTACCTCAACATCTGCGAGTTCACTTTTGACTCCGGTCCCCTCAAGTACCTCTCGGAACTTGAGGAGTGGCGCCATGAGAATCGTGGTCTCGCGGTTCTCCTTGCGGCTGATTCCTTGATCAGGAAGAAAGTCTACAAGCTCAATCAACAACGACAAGCGCAAGGACTTCCCTACGTTCTCTCAGGCTCTCTGCGAGGTCCTCAAGAACCACAAGCAGCTCTGGAACGACGCTCGCTCCACAGCAGAACTTGAAAAATTCCGCCAGGTCGAGCACGAGTTCGCTACTCCTCCGAAGCGGCCTCGCTCGAGGTCCCCGCCGCCGACACCCCCGAGAACGAGGCCAAGACTCGCAAGAATCGCGCTCGCCGGCAGAAGGAGAAGGAGTTGCTCAAGCAAGCTCGTGCAGAGCGCGATCGCGCTCGCGACCACGCCAAGCCGAACAAGCCTTCGGTGCCTAAGCTCACAGAGAAGGACAAGGTTGATCGCGATACCCGGGTTCCGGAGAAGGAGTGGAAGAAGATCATGTCCTTCTCTTACACTGGAGCTCGCCGCTGCCCATGGTTCAACTGCTCGCTCGGCTGTCGGTTCGGTGATCAATGCAAGAACAAGCATATCTGCGTGCAGTGCGGGGGTGATCACCCCTATACCATGGCAATCACTGAGCTCCCACGCCACCGCCGGGGGAGTTTGGTCGTCTCCCTCCGGCACCGGTGCTCGACAGACCACCCGGGGATTTCTCTCCCCCCCCGCTGCAGCAGCCGCTGGCTCTGGCTGCTAATGAGGTTTCTTCTCAGAGACTGACAGGTGCCCCTGCAGGTCGGCCGCCGCCGTGGGATCTTTGGGCGGAGATGCCCCAGGATCCGGACACAATTCGTGAGCTCGGGCCCTGGTGCCTTGAGATCTTTGCCGGGTCTGCTGGTCTCACTGCTGCCTGGAAGCGTCACGGTCTTAAGACTTTGCCGCCGATCGACAAGTGCACCTCCGAGCTCGTTCTGGAGGCGATCGACTTGTTGGACGCACAGGTCTTTGATTGGCTGCTCTTGCTGTGCCGTATGGGGGCGATCGTCTATCTGCACTTGGGCGTTCCCTGCGCCACGTTCAGTGTGGCTCGGGATCGGCCAGGAGGACCTCCTCCCCTGCGATCGCAAGCGTTGCCACTTGGCCTCCGCGTTCTAAAGCAGCACCATCAGGCACAGCTCTTCGAAGCCAATGAGCTCTTGTGTCGATCTCTTCTTCTTTTCGAGGCTGTGGTCCAAGCGGGTGGAGATGCTTCGATCGAGAACCCGAGGGATAGTCTGATCTGGCAGGTCCCTCAGGTTCAGCAGCTCAAAGTTCGTCTTCACCTCTACAACGTCGATTTCGATCAGTGCGAGTACGGATCGCCTCACCGGAAGCCTACTCGGCTCCTGGTCAGTCATGCTGCTCTTCTTGCTCTTGCACGTGCGTGCTCAGGTGGACATCTTCCCTGTCAGTCCAATGACTATGAAAAGAGCAGCGATACGTAAAACAGAGTCATTGACACAATGACTAGAAATTGCACATCATCATGCTTGTGACAGATGATATATCGTCATGGACAATGATGCCACCAACGCAAAATCTCGTGCTACGACACATCAAGCTGTACAGGTCGGGAAGGTATTTGCTCCATGGCGCACAGGCTAATTTCGTTTCGAAGTACATCTCGATTGAGTAGTCACGTGTTCGATTCACTTCGATTAATCGTCACATTAGTGGCGTTTCGGATTTGGGGTCCCCGTATACACGTAACAAGAACATGTGTTCGGTTCAGGTCAGTCGACGATCCATGGGAGCGCACTATTTAGATCCCTGGGTGCCCATAGACATAACGCAAAACAGGGATGTTCGATTCTTTTCGAATTTCCGTCCACGATCCGGATCGTGCACGGATATCCATGCATGGTACCACACCAGTGACATGGTGTTACAGACGCAGGGTCCCTGTGCAATGCTATTTTTTCTGTACATGTAACAAACGGGTAAGCGTAACACCAGCGGGCGTTCATTAACTTTCGTCGACGATTCACCGGTCACACAACAGACTGCACTGGATTTACGGTCGTGGGTCCCCAGATCAGACACCTTGACACAACATGTGTTTCGATTCAGGTCATTCGACCCCACGGGTCACTCCATTTTTTGGCGTTACACACGTGGGGTCCCCGCACACGCAAAAAAAATGTTCAGTGCACGTCGATGGATCGATCGAACGTACGATCCATGGGGTCACACCACTGACTGGCGTTACGATCGTGGATCCCACTGTACTATTTCGCATGGCACACTGCCACTGCATGCCGGCCATGCATGCATATTTCTATCACACTCGATCGAGACTCACAAGCTTGCGTAGCATGCATGCATTTATTTACAACGCAAGCAAACGCATGCTTGAGCCGAACTTGAGCCAGATTATGCGTTACTTATATATATATATATATATATATATATATATATTATTTCACATGGCACACTGCCACTGCATGCCGGCCATGCATGCATATCTCTATCACACTCGATCGAGACTGCACATGCAAGCTTGCGTAGCATGCATGCATTTATTTACAACGCAAGCAAACGCATGCATACTTGAGCCGAACTTGAGCCAGATTATGCGTTAATTAGGGGCATATATATACATATATATATATATATTTCTATTATATATATATATATATGCCAGAAATATTTATATGTACCTGAAGCGTCCTCTGGTGTTCTTTTTGGGGCCCTGACAATTATTATTGGCATGACTAATTTTTTCTGGTCTGACCAATTATTTTGGGACACAGAATCTGTGTACCCTTTTTTTTTGGGTTCGGGTGCCTTGTCTACAATCTTGGCTATAAACGACCTTAAAGCAGAAGGAGTAGACTTTGCAAGTGCTATGAAGGGTGTGAGCTATGGATTTGCTCTCGGTGGCTCTGGCATCGTAGATGGAGAACTAGCTGTCTATATGAAAGTATACAAACTTAACACTCGGTGATTGCAATCCCTACAACTCTCTCTCTGTGTAGGGAAAGAATTGGTATGTATGTGTCTGTTAGAGCCCTGAGCCCTGTATAAACCCTATAGTCCCAAATTTTAGTCTCTATATACCTATATAGTCTCCATTGTAGTTTCTTTTTTTTGGTTTAACTAAATATATGTCATATAGGATCCTATTATAGGTATATAACCCCAAAAAGGAAGTACAATGGAGACTATAGGTATATATAGACATTACGGTTTAAGACAGTCTTCGGAACCCGGCCTGTGCACTCCGAGAGTTCGCCTGGTGAGGTGTTGTACCCTCGATATATATCTATATATATATATACACACACACCTCTAGTCTCGATTGCAGTTCCACGTTTTGGTTTAAGAAAACATATATAATAAGGACCCTGAAATGTAGCTTCTAATAGGAACAACAACGAAGACTATAGGTGTGTGTGTATATATATATATATACCCTAAACCCCAAATACGCTGTACATATACACTTATACAACCTCGTATAGCTTTTATATATATATATATATATACCTCAATACCTATATATATATATATATATATATATATATGCTCTGAACCTCAACCCGTCTGCCTGCGGCCATCCTTTCTTCGGTGGCACAGAGGCTGCCGCTTGTTCGCAAGGTTGAACGACTTTGCTCGGGGGAAGGGAGGGGAGATATACCCTATATAGTTATGTGTACACTAAATCCCTTGTTCTTCGTATACACCTTCCCACCCCAAAGCAATCGTTTTATAAAGAGCTACATGAGGTGCAGGCTTTAAGTCTTGCCTCCGCAGGAACCTCGAATGTACTCTCGTGGTTGCAGGCTTCCTACAGCATATTGCTATACTTATATATATAAATATATAGTCTCCATTGTGGTTCCCTTTCTGGGTTAACCAAAATGTCTATTATAAGATCCTAACCATAATACTGGTTAAGAAAAGGAACTGCAATGGAGACTATATATTTATATATGGGCTACATATGTAGAAGGACAAGGTAGAATGAAAGTCTGACAGTCCCAGGGCTGTGCTCTTTTCGCGATTACACGCCTTGGGTCTACAGAGGGCTTGGGTGTGGACATGGCTTGATTGTTATTGTTTCAAAAGTGGTTTGACTCATTCCTGTAAGTCCCTGCAGGCCTCCTGTACCGTAGCTGAATTCCCAACATGGCATGTTTCTGTGAACTGGGAAGTTTAGAATAACATCGTATGCACGGTTTTCCGGTGCATATAGATTCAGTTGCTTCAGAATTTGCTATTGGGTATGGGCCGGGATGTTGGTTTTCGGAAGGTGAGACTGGGCTGCTGTGCTTTTCTTCGTCAGCAGTGATGCACACAGGGTTTGGGGTTCAGGATTTATAGGGCAGGGTTTGGGGTTGAGGATTTATAGGGTTTATATAGGGTTTATATATATATATATATATATATATAGGGTTTATACTGTTAAGGCCTTAGCAGGTTTATATATATAGGGGATATACATACATATATATATATGTACTTACAGGCTCCATTGTAGTTCCTCTTTGTAGATCATATATATATATATAGATATAGGACCCTAGAAGGTAATGCCAAAAAGAGAAACTACAGTGGAGCCAAAAGGAACTGCATAGAATTACTTGTTTCTAGAGGGTGGGTATGGTTATCGGGTTCAATCTCTCGTACCACGTATAAGCTACTTTTAGGGTTTAAACTTGCAGGAAGAAGCACGATCGCAAACGCCCTCCAGCTGTTCTGAAGTGACACGATGCATTCAGGGAGGACAGCCATTGGGATTACTTTATGGTGGTCAAGCCTTTCAGATCATTGAGGTGCACCCTAAACCCTAAACCCTAACCCCCAAACCCTAACCCCTAAACCCTAAACCCAAACCTTCGTCTTGAGGACGACGCTTTAGGCCCTACACTTGCAAACCCATGTCAGGTAAAGCTTGAGATATACTCGTACATATACATATAGACCATCCGGTCCAATGGCTTCCTTCAGCTCGGATGCCTCTCCTCCCTCTCACATGCTGCTGAGCGCGGATGACAACCTCGCTGCATTTCAGCTGGTCGAGGAACCTTTATATGCAAGAGGAGTAGAGATAAAGAGGGAGAAAGAGAGAGCGAGTGGGTGGGAGAGAGAAAGAGGTTTAGGAACACGACGACCGCATGTGAAGCATTCCAAGGAAATCTGCAACCACAAGGTGCTTAAGGCCAGGGTTCTTTTGGTGGAGGAGTTCGTCGTATTGCCGCCATCGGACAAGAAAGACAAGAAGAAGGAAAAGAAGAACAAGATCACGATCAGGTCGGAGACAATCAAGCAGAACAAAGCCTCTCGCTTGTGCCAATACCCGAGGTATCCAAATACATATACTATATGTACCTGTCCGCACCGACGGCGGCCTGAGCTCATATCGCTCATAGCTATACTCCTGGGTGCCTCATGAGTGCATTGGTTTTGTTGGTCAAGATTCCAGTAGTGATGGAATTCCCACAACCATACGGGTTTTAGTATGCACGAGTGTGTGCATGTATATGTACACACCTGTGTGTACATGTGTATATGTATATAGGTATGTGTATATCTTGTTTACCCAAGACACTTCATGTGTGTAGATATCACCAATGCTCGCATGTGCAGACATGTGTCTTTATACATATACATATCTGTATGTTCTTATCACTGCTGTCTATAACGGCTTTGCTGCTGCACACACACATGCACATATACATGTATTGAGATATATAGGCATGTATGCAGACACAAATACATTACTTTACGCATGTGTACATGTGCATATGCATATTTATATGTATAAAGCAATATATACCGACAACTAAGTGCACGCATGCATACATTTCCGGTAACATGGCCCTGTGTGTACAGAGACACTTACACCCATACACACTATATATATATATATGTATATAGACACATGCACGCATATGTATGTATACGTATACATATATATACTTATGTATTCACAAATGTATATATACTTCTGTACATATGCATATATACAGTGTGTATACATATATATATATATATATGCACACATACCTATATACACATATACATATATATATATATATATATGTGTATACAGGTAACAGCATAATCATGCAACGCAACCCTTCTGGAATGTCTAAGTTCGCATTATTTGTATGTGTGTGTCTGCACAGCCCAGGTTTTGCTCAGTGCAGTGATGCCGAGATTGATGTTCAATCCCAACCTCCTTGGGATTCCGACTCTTGAATGGGCACTGATGCAAGTCGCCGAGCGATGGAGTGTTTTTCGTATGCAAGAAACTGTGTGGAAATAGAAATGTGATTCAGTGATCATGTAAAGAATGACATGACAACTTCGAGGTTGATATGACCTTGAGCCAATGCAATGCGGCAGCTTGGGTGATTAAGAAGAGCCTGAACCTCCACAGTCGTTTGCAGGGCCGATCGAAGACCCGACGGGATGATGAAGTTCAGGAGGTCTCAGCATCGGGGCCGCATTGCATTCGTCGGAGTAAAGGCACAGTTGGATTGTGGCAAACCTGGGAATGTTGGGGCTTCTATATCTTGCACAGCTGAGGAACTGTTCGATTGCATCATTAGTGGCAGCTTTCCTGTCGGTGTTCCGAATGACATAGCCCTCACAAAGGCATCGATAGGCAAGGCTCCGGTTCGCAAGAGATTGCGATTGAATACAAAGACAACCCCTATCATCCCGAGCCCAGCCACGACTCCAAGCCCAGCTACGACTCCAAGCCCAGCTACGAATACTTCTGGCACCTCGGAGACTGCGGCCCAAGACGTGACGGTGGCTGAGGTTAGTGTTGGTTGCTGTGAGCTTCCGGCAGAGGGTGAGGTTAGTGTTGCTGGCTGTGAGCTTCCGCCAGAAGACATGCCTGTTGACTGCGATGCAGAGGGTGAGGTTAGTGTTCCCGGCTGTGAGCTTCCGCCCGAAGACATGCCCGTCGACCGCAATGCAGAGGGTGAGGTTAGTGTTCCCGGCTCAGAGGCATTGGGACAGGTTCCTTCAGCCCTTTTTGAGGGCGACGGTGTACTTCGTATGGTGGACCTGGTGTCTGAGAGTGAGGAAGAGCAAGGTTCGAGAGATCAGGGTTCGACCGTGGAGCCGACTACGATTGCGCCGACGAAAGCAGATGTGGAAGCTGCACGGGCCAACTCGTCGCAGACTGTGCGAGGTGCAGAGATTGTTTTGTTATCGATTGGGATTGCATATCGTTCTAGCTGAAGCTCATGCATTCATGCAAGTTTGAAGACAGCCCATGCCATGTTGTGATGCGACAGATCGGCGAGCATCTTTGAAGCTGCAGCTGGCGAAGCTGAAGCTTCAGTTGAAGCACCGAGCAATGCGAGCGGCCATTGCTGGGGAGACACCTGTGCGGCATTGGTGCGACAGACCTCATGTATACAGGTGAGCACAAGCAGAAATCTTATGATCCGTATAAGTCCAGAACCCTAAGTAGCCCTAAGCCCCAAACCTACGTATGCTGTTACATTTCTAGGAAACCCTTAGCCCTAAGCCCGAAATCGACATAGACATGCATGCATGTGTACATGTGTGTAAGTGTGTACTATAGGGGCATTTGTGTGTAGTTATATAGATGAATAGGGGTTGTATGTATAGACCTATATATATATACACATATATAATGTGCATGTGTATATATATATACACACATACATTTTTGGTCACGTGGGTTTATGTGTCTCGGGATTGAACGGTTTACGCAGGACGTAACCTGACATGTACATGTAAGCACACACACACACACACATATATATATATATATATATATATATAGATCTGCATATAAGCACACACATATATATATATATATATATACATATATATATATATATATATGTCTTTTATATGTACATGTATGTATATATACCTATATATATATATAGATATACACATATGGTGTGTATATATATATATACATACATTTACATATTCTTTCTCTCTCTACACACACACAAACACACGCAGAGACACTACATGTGTATATATGTATACATATACACATATATATATATATATCTTCGTATATGTTGCAGAATCGTCGTTCGATTTTGCACACCTATCGTCACACGATTATACCAAGCTTTCCCTTTGCATGACTTTGTGAAATCATGCAGACCTGTATATTTCATGGTTTGTGAGACCTAGCCGTGCACAGCTCGGTGGTGTGTCTGCGATTTGCATACATACAAGGCTGCCTTTGTATCGCTGCACCTTCTCAGGAATATCCAGCCAGACGCCGTTGATACGCTTCCGTGGGATGGTGTGCCGGCAGTGCCCTACGTCTTGCAGCATGGATGCACTCTCAGGGTCACACTCAACGGGTACCCGTTCACTAAAGCATGTGATAGTCAGTGTGAACATGACGTTCTTATCGATGTTGCATATAGACCAGCATCTTGGAATACATTCATGGCCGTCCCACATGTTGTGTGTGCACACACTCACAAACAGGGCTCTTTTTATGTGTATATGTGCATATGCAGATATGTGTAAACACATACATACGTTACATTTATATATACACATTTATATATACATATACGTATGAAGATATGCACACGTGTGCATACACAACTTGTATATATACACACATAATTTTAAACTTTCTTGTATGTATATATATATATATGCATGTACATGGAGGCATGTATGTATGTACACGTGTACATATATATATATATACCTATACTCTCCATTGTAGTTCCTTTTTTGGTTAACCAAAATCTCTATTATAGGTTCCTAACCATAAAACTGGTTAACCAGAAAAAGGAACTACAATGGAGACTATAGGTATGTATACGTGCATACATATCAGTCAAAATACGGAAGCCACTTCTGCTTCACAAACAAGGCCCGAGGATTCCTTCATTGAGATTGGCGACAGCGACAACGAGGCCGAGAGCTATTTTTTCCAGAAGTTATCTATATATATATATATATATATGTACATAGACATACTGTATATACATAGAGAGTGGAACATTCCAAGTCCATGCGGGTACATGTATATGTTCATCTATGTATATGTTGCTCGGCATTTCCAACCAGTGGCCTTGCAGGTCATGGGCGATGATGCTCCCCCGAGCACCTCCACTGATGACGTTGGCCAGGGGCATACCGCCCTTTGTCCTGCACTGTAACATATATTGACATACAGACACACACACACACACGCATATGTGTATATATATATATATACATACATTTGCATATACTAGACACATGTGCATATGTGCTGCATGCGATGCATCTTCGGACACCCGAACACTTTCAGCAAACTAGCACGCATATCGCTTTGTTATGTGTATATATATATATATATATATATACACATACACTCACAGAACAATGCCGTGTCGCACATGTCGGTGGCTGTGTATATGTTGAGTGACCCATGTACCCACCTGCCCCACCAGCACCCACATACCCACCCACCCACCCACCCACACACACACACATACCCACACCCGCACACCCACACACCCACACACACACACAGACACACACACACACACACACACACCCCGGACCCACACGCAGAAACACAAATCACATGGGACTCGAGTGCCGAGGTGGAGCCACGGGACTCGAGTGCCAAGGTCGAGCCGGTTGGTGCTGGTGTTGCAAGCTTGGCTGCACCTGTGGCCACGGAAAGGGTTGCAGCAAAAGCTGTGCCTGCGGCTGCGACAGGGTTGGCGGGTGAGCCGTTGGATCCTGTCGTTGTCGCAAGATATGACAAGTTCTGGTCCAAGTATGTTTGCAAAGATGGTGATATTTGGAAGAATGTAGATGGACCCGAGGATGAGGAAAGCAAGGCCAAGCTGAGAAGCTTGGGCCTGTGGCGGCCAAACTTGGCTCTTGACCTTTCTAAGACCGGTGCTGAGGGCGAGGATGCAGGATTTTTGGCCAGGTCACAGCAGCGACAGTTGAAACAGAAGAAAACCGATGCAAACAAAGCTGCAGCTGACAAAGATGATGAGATGATGCCTGCAGTTTCAAGTGCTGCCGTTGCTAAGCCTAAGGCCAAGAGCAAATCCAAGGCTAAGACTAAGGCAACGAGCAAAAGAAAAGCAGCTGCTGTCGGAGACCCCGTGATCGATGAGAAGGAGACGGATGCAATCGTGCCAGCTTCAGCCCCCGGCTCTGAGAAGGATCCGATTGACACACTCGCAGTGGCCCCTTGCTCGGAGAAGAAGCAGGATGATGAGAACTTGAAGCGGAAGTGTAAGAAGCGGAAGACCAAGAATGATCCCGACTACATTCCATCCTTCGCTGGAAGACCCCGACCTAAGAGAGAGAGAACAAGAGCTGTGTGGGAGGCCTTGAGGGATGCCTTTCACGCCATCATCCGCCCTCGCATTGTGCATCCTTCCTCGCACGAGGACATGAGTGCCTGCTTGATGTCATGGCTTCGTGTGTCGTGCTACAGTATACTTATTACAAGTGAGGTGAATACTGGTTTGAAGGCACTTGAGTGGCAGGCTCACATAGCCATCAGTAGCCTTCTCATGATTCTATATAGCTCAGTCCTCCGCCCTTCTCGACGACTCTCTCTCTCTCTCTCTGACACGCTGTCTCCCTCTCCGTCATTATCTTTCTCTTTTCGGCTTCCATATATATATATATATATATATATCCTTATGAAGACAAGCACCTGCTCCGGTGGGCATTTTCATACTTTAGTTATAATATATATATATATACACAAATATATATATATATATATATATATACAGGTTTTTCACCTCTGCCTCTTTCGCTTTCATCCCCCCCACACACACACACACACACGCACACACGCACGCACACACACACACACACACTCTCACTCTCACTCTCACTCTCTCTATCCATCTCGCTCTCTCTTTCATGGCTCAAAAAATGAACCAACGATGTGTGTGTGTGTGTGTGTGTAGGCATCGCTTATCATCATCCCGCCCTTCCTCCCTCCATCCCTCTGCCCAAGAATATGAACAGAAAAGGGTTCCTGTGTACGTATTTTTCTGAGAATATATATATATATATATATATGCAGTATATGGGTGTGGGGAGAGAGAGAGAGGTAGAGGTACGAACGAGAAACATGTTGCAATGCCTTGTGGCCTTTTGCCTCGGATGTGTTTGGCCGCTCTGCCATTTGCAAGTTTACACTGGTCATGTGCCCAGGGGACGACCGGATGCGAACATTGTTACCTGGAGACGTCACAGCTGGATGGCCAGCCAGCAGACGACTATAGTATATATATATATATATATACATACATAAAGATCGATATACGGAAGCACCACTCCGGTGGCCGCACTATATATATATATATATACATACATACATAAAGATCGATATACGGAAGCACCACTCCGGTGGCCGCACTATATATATATATATATACATATATATATATATATCCAAGTATAGAAAGGTGTTCTCTGAAACCAAATCCCTAAACCCTCAAGCCGGAATCCTCAACCCTAAACCTAGCCTTCTATGTGTTTTACTTATATGTAGATATTGTAAGGATGCACCCCCCCCCCCGGCGGTTACGAAATGGACCCTGAGTTGTATGGATACTGAATACTGAAGCATATATACAGACAGGTCTATACATCTGTATAGGGTATATATATATATATATATACCTATGAGCACCGCCCCGGCGGCCGCTATATATATATATATAGAGAGAGAGAGAGAGAGAGAGATGTATGTATTGTGTGTGTGTTGTTCCGTGTGTGTGAAGGCTGTGCCGCCTTCCTAAACCCTAAAGCTTGAAACCTGCAGATGCCGAAAACTGTCACGTGATACCAAGCAGCACGTTTTGTGTCTTATGGCCGCAAAGTGGAGAGTCGAAGCTACAGTGGAACGCAGGTCTTAAGTGCCTTGCTGTTGTTGCCTTTCAGGATCCCTTTTGGAAGAAGGCAAAGCCTGTCTTGGACATCATGATGGAGCCAGAGCCGAAGGATCTCATGAAGGCGGCCGGCGACGAAGCACACAGCTACCTGCTGGAGGTGGGGAGGACATTTTGTGGGGTCTGAGACATGCTGCTTTAACATCTGGCAGGTTGAGATGAAGTGATTGGCCGTGGTCTGCAATTCGTAGCTCAAGAGTTGGCGAGACATTGCATGTTGCTTGCAGCTTTGTACACTCGGTCAGAGTCGTAGCATATATATATATATATATATATATATATATACCCATATTCACACTATAGCACATGCAGAAATATAATGTGTATGTATATACACACCAACACGTGTGTGTGTGTGTACGTATGTATGGGGGATAGCTTTGTGTGTGTGTGTGTTCGAAATTACAGAAGACAGGAAAGCAAGGGCTTTCCGTCCCGAAGCTTGTTTGCGAGCTTGATTTACGAGCAACTTTTGTGCTCACGTGTCTCGACGAAAGTACCAACTCGTGAAGCATGCACGCCTGGGCCACCAACTGCGGTCTGAGGTTTGCTGGGTTATATACAGCACATCGATACTCTACGCCCCTAGACCCTAAACCCTAAACCCTAAGCCCTAAACCCTAAACCAGCTGAATCGTTGTCAGTTAATTTTTAAGGACACCTCTAGCTCCAATGCAGGCAGGTGGCCGGCTTTTAGTATCTTTCTCGAGACGAAGGCATCCAATAGAGGATGCCTCTTCTACACGCAGAGCAAGACTTTCGTGCGCCAGAAACGAGGAAGGTCTCTACCCTGGGCCATACCCGAAAAGATACACACCATAAGTATATATAGTCTCTGGAGAAATATGAGACTTGCTGAACCCCTCACCACAAATCCTGTAGGACCCGGAACCCAAGCTGTATCCATATGTGTACATGTGTCATGATCTTGCCAAGGCCATGGGCGGCGATTGGAGTTGGCATGCCACGTGGCTCCCAAAGGCTTCTGGAAAGCCTTTCAAAGTCGAAGGACTCTAGCTGGCCTGGCTTGTTTATACGTTCTTGCGATTCCTGAATGGTCTGTGGTGCAGACAGATCGTTGCCGGCCCGTTTCGCAGAGGTCTTGTGCTGCCTGTGTTGCCATTTAGCAACTGGAGAGAGCGATTGGGATAGTCAAGCTCAGTTGAAACATAGACTGTTGTTGGCATCGGAACCGGAGCCCTGCATCATGCTCGCCTGGCTGCCTGCTCTATGCACGCTTGGAACATGCATGAGGCCGGGGGCTTTGCTGATCTATCCACGTTTGTATTTCTATGTACCCCTGCAACCACGCATTCACATAGGTGTATCTTGTCTATATCGTCTTAAGAACTACCTTCAAACATGTGTCACCTTATAGAAGAAGAGAACCCTGCGAGTGCACGGCAGCCATGTAGTATGTACTGCACAGTTTCAAGTGTTGTGGCATCCTTTGTATGTAGAATTTTGCCTCAATCTTATGTTGCAGTTGCACATGCACGGTTGTGTATGCATGGAGAAGCATGCACACACGGGGATGTTGTGAGTGGATATACAGTGATGCACACAGGTGTGTGTATATTCGTATGCCCGTACATATCTAGACTGTTGCACAAGAGGCAGTACCGCATATATGCTGTGGTGGAAGGACATACTTTTACATGCTAACGTGTGTTAGAAATACAAAGATCCATACAGACACACTGTGCCAGTAGATTCGCACACCTGTTCATGCACGCACACACATGCACATATCTTTTTATGTATCTATATATGTATATATGTATATGTGTGTGTTTGTGATATATATATATATGTACACACACAGAGACACATTGACGAGAATAGTCACCACACCTGCACATGGTCAGGTTCTCGAGCCGGAGAGACCATGGTGTGCATCGCAAACCGGAGGGTAGCTGGGCCAAAGTTACAAGTCTTGTTTGATGAAAAAAAGAAGATAAATAGTGGAGTTATATCCGTGCCTGAAATGTCCTGGCAGGCTCTTGTGATGTGGCAGCTCCTCTGGACGTGCTCGTTGCGAGGCTGTGTTCGGTAAGGACATAGAGTCGCTGGGCAGAGACCTAAACCCCCAAAGCTTTGTAGAAACTCGTAGAAACTCGTACTGTCAAATGTCGTTCTTATGGTCTTAATAAAGCCTGGAAGTTAGAGGCAGAAGGCGGGACACAACAAGTGTCACAGACATGCCGCCTACACGTGCATGTACCTCTATATGTGCGGTTTGCATTCATGAGGGCAAAAGCTGTGTTGCCCTTTTGTATGCACAGAAATATTGAACTGTACGCTTCGCATCCGAGGGCTCGCTGAACCGATGCGGTGCGGAGATCGCAGGCACACGAGGCTTGTCTCGACGATTTGCTTTTGGTGAATTTCGTCTAGAATGGTGGACTTGAGAATAGCCACGCTTGAGATTTAGTTTGTGGGGATTGTACACGGACAGGAACATCACATTGCCGGAGGGATACGTGCGCCGAGAAGGGCCCGGGGAGGGGTGCATGGGGAAGGGCTTGGGAGGTGTGTTTTGTTTTCCGGTCGCAGGGGTTCAGGGGGGGACCTATTATATATATATATATATATATATATATATATATATATTTATGTATGTATGTATGTATATGTATGTATGTATGTATGTATGTCTATATATGCACCCACAGACATGAGTTTTCATCGTACTTACATATATATATATATATATATACACATACATGTGTTTGTAAGAACATTTCTTGTTGTTCCTAAACATGTATACATATCCGTGTGTACATATATGTATGTATATATATATATATAGACACACACACACACACACGAAGCTGTCTTGCCTGCCAAGGCTTGTGGAAATCGTTCTGGCACGGGGCACAACACAACCGGCTGCTCCTGGGCTACTTGCCGAGCAGAAGAAAGTGGCTGACTCTCCACGTAGACAGCTTTGCTGCTGATATATCACAGGCCCTTCATAGGTCTTTGTCTGTATATGCCTCGTGTATGCATATAGCACTATATACACGAGATGTACAACCTGTCCTGCAATATCTACAAGGGGGTGTCAGTCTAGATTTACTCATGACAAGCAACAAGCCTGTCTGCTTGCCCCTCTCTGTAGAAATCGCTTTCTCGTGTATTCTCGTCTTCTGTTAGCCCTAAACCCCTAGCCCATTTCGCTATAATACCTCTAAACCCTTAACCCTGAACCCTACACCCAAACCTAAAACCTTCATATAGACTGCTGTGGACGCTGGGGAGTTGCATGTGACTATTTCTGCGACAACGAACCCTCACCTCAGTTCCTTTTCCAGGCCCGCAGATACTGATGCAGTTGGTACTTCGGTCTCGTACCCACTTGTAGACCTTGAAGTAAACATGTGTACTTCTCTCGATTGACCACATATACAGGTGTGTATATATATATATATATATTTAAAGACACATGTATACATAGCACATTCATCATGTAACACCGCGAACCAACGTTTTCCACGGTGCACATCCACCTGGTACCCATGGATTCGCAGTCTGCATTGATGGAGCTCGAAGACTTGTTCACATACACCGATCCTTCTGGCTGTAAGCGAACGATTCGTTGCAATGCTGGCTGTGGCGACGAGCCCGGGACGACAAGCAAGAAATTCCCCAGGCTTGCCACAATTGTGGGGCTGTCTATGTAATTTGAAATTGACAGGAGGATTCTTGTCTCGGTATGTTGACTCACAATTGTATGACTGTGCCGCACACAAATAGCCCTGAACAGGACCTGCAGCTTCAGTTCCAGTCAGATCCCACGGAAGAAGAACGACCAGGGTCTATCGACCACAGTTTCCAGCATCCGTGCCTGATATGCAATTTGTCTCGGTTTTCCATAATGCCGTAATGCGAAGGCACACAGCATATAGGTTAACAAATCGGGTCTTTTCTTTGTTGGTAAAATAAATTTTATTGACCGGCTCAGGGTTTGTGCCATGTGTATATATAACTATATATGCATATATATATATATATATATATACACATATATGTAGTTATATGTAGTGGGTTTAGGTTTGGAGGCTTTGGAGTTGTGGGCTTTCGGACTAGGTTCGGAGGGCTTTATTTAAGTTTTCAGGGTAGGGGGTTTTAAGGTTTAGGGCCTGAGCCTAGGAGATTTGGGGCTTTAGGAGTTTATTTCTTTGGGGTTGTCGGTCTTCAATAGTTTACTTGGAGGGGCAGGGGACTTAGTAAGTAGGTTATAAGTCAAGTTATAAGTACCCTAAATGGAGTTAGCCCAATTATAACCCTACTTATAACCTTACTTACTAAGCCCCCGGCCCTTCCAAGTAGGGTCTTAGGCAAGCATCAACACGGTTTGAGACAAAATTGGAGCCCCTCCTTTTTCTGTTGTTTGTAAAATAGTAGGTGTATGGGGTTTGGGGTTTTTGAGGGAATGAGATGAACGAGTATAAACCACACATATGCATCTATGTGTGCACGGTGAAATTATATATATATATATATATACATATGGATACGCATATATACATATATATATATATATATGAATATATATATATATATATATATTCATGTTCACAGTGTGCCATTAAGGAGCCGAGAGTTGCCCGACTGAAGCAAATGCCCACTCTGAGCTGGGTGATGACTGGCACCGGTCGCTTCAGCAGTCCATTTCTGTGAAGATCCTGCCACCAAATACTCTGACAGGGAAGTTGCTGAAACACTGTGTTTCCAAGGTAAATGAGCTTCGGTCAAGTTTGGGTGGGTTTGCTCTTTGTGTGTACAAAATTGGCATCACCTCGGATCTGAATCAGAGGTGGCAGGCTTACGAACGGCAAAATTTTACCAGGATGGTCTGCATCCATGCTAGCAACAACTTATCCGCTGTTGAACTTCTTGAGGCATCGCTGATCCTAGCATTTAGCCAAGAAAAGGAAGGCTCCCTCCGAAACATTAATTTGGGCGGAGAGGGCACCCGGAAAAAGGGTGGGGCGGCTAGGTTCGCCCCCCCGTATTTTGTTTATGTTGTTGCAGCCAATGCCTCGCAACGAATGTGCATTCTGGGTTGAATGTCTGTGTTCGAACACATGTATATGAGTAGCACACCTGTCTGGCATAATATTCTTGTACATCATCTCACAAGGTTCTAGGCCTGTGTTGTCCCTGCTCGCTTTTGTTGGGTTGTGACAGAGTGCATTCTGGTTGTCTTTGCAGCCGGAAGCCTGGATGCAATTAAATTCAGAGAGGCTCTGACTCTCCGGAGTGAGAAAAAGATCTACCATGTCCAGGTAGCAACGGAAGCTACAGACAACATGCTGTGAGTTTCGTAGGCTTCTCGTATCTTCCATGCTGCAGGTGTGCTCGGGTATACAGAAGCGGTGGTAGTGTAGTTCATGTCTCATCATGCACTCTTATGTATATATACTATATACTGTTGTTTTACTATAGACACACTTAGAGCTGTGAAGTACTGTCATGGAGCAGCCGGAATGGGCACCTATACTCGCCCTGCTGTCACGTGCTCAGTCTTATCTGGCTATCCTACGATGTTTCATCCAGGCTTTGGAAGGTCGATTGGATGCCGCATTCCTTCGTGTGGCAGGCCTAGATTATCGGCATCGGTCTTTCGAGGAAAGACAAAACAGACGGAACGATGAACTCGAATTGGGCTTGCAACGACTGGGTGCTGGGACGCTTGCTTTGTCACAAGCACAAGATGGTGAGATTGCCCGCTTGTCCTCGGACCTTGAATCTGCTCTAGGTCGATTGCATAGATTGGAGCAGGTCGTCGCCATATTATTTGGATGTCTCATGTTGCAGCTCATGCGATTGGCAGCACATTGCTGACACATCTGCTGGTTGCAAAAACATTCGTCTAGCTGTGACTGGGGCTCAGGTGTCATCTCTAAGGAGGGGATATCAGCTGTATAAGCACCAGGCATCAGGCTCGATAGCAGTGTCATTTCGGATATATAGTTTTAAGTGGACACAAGAGTACTCCTTGCCAGCATGGCCCATTCTACGTGATGTAGATCTGTAATACCGCATGGCATCGTGTTAATATATGAGTACACAATGTGTTTTAATTTATAACTGTATAATTAGGACTCTAGGGTTTACT